TATATATATATATATATATATATATATATATATATATATATATATATTATGAATACCATCATGAAAGTTCACTGGGTCCGTCTATTGAAGAAGACCACTGAGTGATTTGTCGAAAGCTCTATGTGATGACATTTCCCTTTGACTTTGTTGGAACAAAATTGTTAACTTAAATCATAGATGAATACCAGATAATTTTCAAGCTTTTGTTATGTATGAAGGTACATCAAGTAGTATCAATACATGTATTATCATCTGCAATGATATTGATTCTACATAATAATAAAAGTAATTTACAAACCTGTCCGTGTCTTCCTGTGGTTCCTCACTGGTGATGATTCTAGAGTTCCCGTTTCTATCATCAACTCTGTTAAGAATCAACATAAATTTTGTATCATTATCAACGTAAACTCATGAATGTTTAAATCTAATGTTAAATCTTGATATTCTTATGTAGCTAGCTATTCGGTTTACAAAGTACAAAGTATCAATTTTCAAATACAGAAGCGGACGTAGCAAAACTATACCGGGGTGAATGTGCATAATTACGTACCGGCTTTTGACTATTCCCTGACCTGTGACGTCACGGGCTGCTTGACGGCAAGTTTTTCTGTTTACAGGCGCTCCCTTTTCTTGACCCTTCTGAATGAAAAACAGTAAGGTACAATTAGAGACGAAATATACCATTTTTGCACAAGCAACATGCATTGTAGAAAGATTAGTGGACTAAACTCTAGCTATAGACCGATCATTAAACCCCGCCCGCCTCCATTAAAACATTGCAATGCAAATATTTGACAGTCATGCAGCCACTCTCTCATTGGCCGAAAAGCTAATTGAACTTCTCTTTTTGGTTGAACTTCTAATTGTGATGGACATTCAGGATCGGTCTATTCCAAATCTATTTTCTTTAGTACATGACGTATACTAACTCCTCTATCCACGGTAATGCAAATGCCAAATGAAACGTCCCTTCGTAAAAAGTATAGCAACGTAGGCTGGAATTTGGACTCAAACTATTTGACTTCATTTCAGGTAAATGTTGAAAAACGATATATAATTTTCCTACCCGGACTTTTTCTCTGATTCTCTCCGTGTACTTGATGCGGTGCTTCAGTGTTTCTCTGCCGTCTGAATCTTCACAGCGGTCCAGCGCCGCTCGGTACAGACCAGCTGACTTCAGGAGTGCCGCGTCGTCCTTGCCGGCTCGTCCCTTCTCTAGGTACAGATCTCCAAGGCTCTTCAAACTCTCCGTCTGTAGACTTCCAAATCTGTCCACGATGGCTTTAACAAAGGAACTAGTGTAACCTTCAATCAAGGGCATCGTACCGTGCGCTTTCCTCTCGATGTTTTCTTTCACTTCTTGAAGTGCGGTCGCCACGTCCAGTGTAACGTTAGCTGAAGTTGTGACCTCAGGATTTGGGGGTTTGAGGGTGTGTGCTAGCTTTGTACGTATACGTTTCTCTGCATACTTGATGCGATGTTGTAGAACTATCTTCTCCTCTTCATCCGTGCAGCATCGCCAGGCTTCTTGGTACAGCGCACAGGCCTTCTTAAAAGCCTCCACCTTACTATGGTTCATCGTTTGTGACTGTTTCAGGTACAAGTCACCCAGGCTCTTCAGTGCCTCGCGCTCCAAGACTATATCTTGGCTGCTTACGGCCTGAATTAACATGCTTGCGTAACCCTTTTCTACAACGTCCAAATCACGACCACTCTCGAAGATCAAGTCCAACTCACGGAACTCTTCTACTATCGTGGACAGGTTCATCTTTGTTGCTTTTGTACCTGCTTGACCCAAAGACGCGTCTTTATCCTGTTTCATAGAAAGCTGTTCTTTGATCTTTTCCGCGTATCTTATGCGATGAAGGAGGGCCTCTTTTCCATCAGTATCCTCACATCGACTCAGAGCCCCTCTATAGAAAATGTCAGCATCATCTAAAACATCAGCGTTTTTAGTCATTCTTCCTTTTTCTAGGTTCGCATCACCAATGCTTTTTAACACCTCTACTTCAAGCAGCGTATTGTTGCTCTTTATGGCTGATGCCAGCGATTCTTCGTAGAATTCCAGGAGAATGAAAATCTCATTTTGAAACCTTTTCTCGACAGACAATAGCGTTTCCGACACTTTCAACATATCAGTTAGATATTGCTCATTAGATGTGCTATTGTTCTGATCCTTGTCGTCTTGACTGCCTAGAGATGCTTTATGTGTGTTTGCAAATGCCATACGTTTGTCCAACAATTCTTCAGCACGTGCGTCATCGCCCATGTTGTCATGGGAAGTAGAGTTCGAAGATAGCGTACCTCCGTCAGTCTGGGGTGTGGTTGTGACATTTTCCATCATCTCCACCTACGTGGTACAAAAGTTATGACATTATGGAAAACATTCAATTATTCGCGATTGATATTACAGTATATATTTTCAGTTGATCGTTTCAAAGATTGATTGATGCATACTAATGTCCGTCTGTAGCAATGTCATAATTACGAGATTCCCTCATTATTTATCTGCTTAATCACAAAAGTACACATTGATTTGCATGATGCTTCCAGAATTGTCACTTTCTTCTGCCAAGACTTCCCCCAGATAGAATAAGTATAGGTATCATATGAAAAGTGGCCACCAGGCCGGTTTGAGTACAGTACATGTACTATTATATTTCACGAATAAAGGTTCACACAAACAATACAAACAAACAAAGAAACAAACAAATAAACAAGCAATTCATCGCTCCTACAGTCACAAATAGTTAACGAGAAAGAAAAATATGTCACGTTATAATGTCACGGTATAATGCAAGTTCAGTACTCAGCCTGTGCCTTTTATATGACAAAAGATGCGGCTTATGCTATGTACTCTATGTTATGTTGCCCCCATTTCTGAGACAGTCCATTCACTTGTGATTTCGCGTGAGAATGTCCCTAAGGGATTAAAAAAAAGTAGTAAGTACTATGCAGTAGTCGCGTGTGATTACATACGTCAATCAGATCTGCAACTATTCTTTACGGTTTTCGCTTTATGTTGACAGTAACGTTCTGAAATTATTAGATACATGTACTTCAGGACGACCTGTCTCTTTCCGGTCTCAAAACGTTTCAGTCTATTACCTTCTACAATGTACATGTAGGTCATGCATTGTAAATGTATATTAGGCTACACATCGTCAGTCATTATACCCACCTGTCTAGCCTTCTGAAGTCCATATTGTCTTCGAGAGTTAAGGGTAGCGACCTTGTCTTAATATGCATGTATATAATTATAAAGGTCCCATTCCTTCCATTTTTACGTTGACCACGGAACATTGCCACCAGCGTCGGTAAAAGCGGAAGTCGTCAGGTGTGACCTCACCTGTTGTATTGTGTGGGGGCTTCTGGGAAGGGGGGAACTCCCAATGGAATGCTCCATTTCAACAAAGGGGTGTACTTAGAGGAAATGTATCATAAAAGGCACAAAATGCAAAATTACTAGGTGTTACAGTAGACCAGCAGCTTTCATGGGTACTGCAGGTCAACAATACAAAGTTGAAAATGGTAGGCGCACTTGCGTCAGTTAGGAAACATAAGGATAACTTGACCCCCAACATGTTAAAAATTGTACTACAGACCCTGGTTCTATCTCACCTTGACTATTGCTGTGCCCTTATGTCATCATCGCCACAAACTCAAATAGACAAACTACACGTTGTGCAGAATCGAGCGGCTAGGCTGGCAACAGGTGCACGTTGGGATGCCGACTTAGATATCTTACACACCCAGTTAAACTGGCCCTCAGTCAAAGAGAGATTGTTTACCGGTACAATCAACACATTCCATAAAGTAGTGAGAGAGAAACAGCCTAGATGTATTTTCAATAGACTAAAAACAATTAATTCGGCACATTCGCACAACACTAGACTGGCACAAAAAGGCGCATTCCAGCAATCTAAACCTAGAACCAACGCCATGACTCGGACTTTCATACACAGGTGCATTAAAACATACAACACTTTGCCTACTCACATCACATCCTCAAACCCACGAACGTTTAAAGAAAAAATCTGGAATTGGACAAAAACACATAAAAACAAACACACACCAATTAACTCCTGGTGGTAAATGTTTTTAAATATATTATGCACAATCTCTTGACCTCTGACCTCTCAGACATCTATTATAAAATTGTTTTTGGTTAATTGTATAGTGTAACATTATTGATTGATGGTTGTATAGTGTAATGTTGTAATAATTGATGAAATGATTGATGTTTAAAATTGTTGTTAAGATAAGTTTTTCTGAAGCATAATAGCAATTGAAGTAAATGTAAATAATAGTTGCATTTTTAGGTTGTATAGGACTCCAGGAAGAGTAGTGATGTACATATTATCATTAATGGAGATTCCTTAATAAACAAACAAACAAACAGGCTGAGTACTGACATCGCATTATATACTGTGACAATCACAGAAGACTTCTTTAATAGAAATACATTATATTTTTCTTCCTCGTTTATTTGGTTTAGTTGCTATTCGGGCTAAAATAAACAATATAGTTTGTATGTGTGATAAGTTGTGTTTACGTTGTTTCAAGATGGTTGTTTTGTACTGTGTTGTAAAACTTGTATGTGTATGTTTGAGGTCAAAGATGACAATTTTAAAACAGGTTGTTGACCTTACTTTTAATTCATTACTGACACATGTTGTTGATTTAGTGTGCAACACCCTAAGCACAACACTTTTGATCTTCAAAATGTAATGAAAAAATGATGTTAATAAATATTACAAAAGGTGACATCAAATAAAATCTCGATTCACTGTCACAACTTACATGGTTGGTTTTACATGTAGTTAGCACGTCGGCAGAACGTATTGCACCTGCGCGAAACCTGTATTGTATTGTACATAGCATTTCAGCAGAATGTCTCATATAAGGTTGTATTCGCTCATATAAGGTTAGCATTTCGACAGTAGTTTCCAAATGTTATGTCAGAAAGAATATCCTCTGCAACAGGCAAAATTCTGATGCAACGTAGACCAAAAACCCAATGAAAAATGCGAAAATACAGGGTTCTGCGCAGGCACAGTACGTTCTGCCGACGTGCTCATGTAGTTAAAGTACACATCGTATATGGAAGATAGAATATTACAATTTATTGTCCTTTTATTCCACATATCATACACTTTTGACTAGTGCATTATCTATCATAATTTGGATGTCAGAGTCCTGTTCAGTGGAAGATGAGTAAGGAACCTGTCTAAGGCACTCAGATATTCTTCCCTGTGATTTACCAGATGCCCGACATGAGTCGACTTTTCCCAGCACCGCTCTGTCACCTCGATCCCTAGTGACCTCCATTTCCCCAAGAACCCTTGCAATGAATCCACCTGACATACAGGGTCATCCATGGAATACAAAGCCAGCACTGGAGCCAAAATTGGCTTTCCTGTTATACTGTCTGTCAGAACATTATATTTCTTGACAACCTGTCTTGCCAAAGTGTAGTACACATTGATTGCAAACCTTAGAAACATTTGTAACACGGTCCAATTTGTTAAACCAACGACCATCCCATTAAAAGCCCCTTTCCCATCAGCAACAGGGCTGTCCAATACCAGCCCTACCACCTTACTCCTAACACAACTATATTTGTCCTCATGAATATTCATGAGGTAGACCATCCAGCCCAGCATGTAGAAGCCCATGGAGGCCACGTGGAGGATGATGGGAAGGGAGGAGACCTCTTTCTTCAGGAAGTCCAGGACCTTGGTCATCAGCTGACAGCCGGTAGCTGGGTGTGTGGCATGACTGAACTGAGACTTCACTAGGAGAACCTGGAATCCACGATCTGTGTACACACCTGGAATTCCAAAATTATACCTGGGTCAGTGGACATACAGAATGGGGGGGTGGGGTGGAAGGGTGCAAGAGGGCTGTACAACAAAATCTCCACTTGTAAAAATATCGTAACTTTTCGATCACTATATTGCCAGGCTCAAAATTATCACACATCCACACACAAACATGTATATCTCTCTTTTATTTTATTTTATTTTAATTCAATTGCAACAAGGCAATACAATGGCCACCCAGGTAGCATGGCTGATGTTGGGTGCCGAAAGATACACAAATTAAACATACACAATATAACTTATAATAGGCTAACAAGTACGTACCACATTAGGCTAAGATCCATCAATTGTTTGTCTTTTAATTTTTTCCTGTTTTCTTATCTACCACGGTCGGAGATAAAATCCTTACTTTACTTAAACCAATTCTTTTGTCTCATTTTCATTTCAGTGTACATTTAATTGTAAATGTGTACATGTATGTGGGGTCGATACATTGCTGTAAGTACCGTACCTGCGTACTTCCCCAGTACTGTTGGACTAGCATTGAGCCAACCGATCAGCACCACCAAAGGTGCAGCAGGTGCCAGGTGTGTAGCTGCAGGTGTCTGATGTATAGCTGCAGGTGCCAGGTGTGCAGCTGCAGGTGCCAGGTGTGTAGCTGCAGGTGACACCTGTTCAGAAGGCGGCAGGAGTACCATGTGCTCTCCCAGAGCCTTCATGCTGGCTATGCAGGGTAGAAATATAAAACTAAGAAACAGGAGGAGCCGGGCCGGGGTTCGAACCCACGACCTCCCGAGCACCAGCTTCAGACTCTGACGCTCTAACCGCTCAGTTGAAAGGGTCTAGACCCATCGGCAGGGTCAGTTGGTAGTGCCTATAAACCCCCCACTGTTACAATTATAAAACTATAGCCATGTCTGTTTGCAATGTCTCAACATGTCAGTCAAATGACTTCAACTCATTTACATACCAATCCATAATTTTTGCATAAATACCGTTGAACTCTGTTACAGATTCCATTAGTCACTGGCGAAAATTAGCAGATGCTACTTGAAACAAAGATCTGACAGTTTTCAAAATCTATCCAATCTCTTAAGTCTTTGTAGCTGTGTATCTCATTACATGGATGTCCAACCTTCATACACATGTGAGATTACAGTTGTATGTCTAAATCAGATTTTGCTCTTTAAGTGTTTACCTCACAGTGTATCTATTTCATTAATTGGATGTCTAACCTTCATACTATTTAAAATTATGGCTATGTCAGATTTTGCACAGGTAATACCTGCTATTGTCTTATTCTAATGGAGGTACTAGTACATGTAGCTAGACTGGTACAAAGTCCAGAAAAATGGCGCATAATGGTTGTGACATCACATAATATCTTTTCTACTTCTTCAAGATGCCCTTAAAGTCGTTAATACTTTTCGCCTACCGTTACAGAATCACCAATTTAATGTGACTTACTCTAAAACTGGTATTTGCAAAGAACCACACACACCTGGACTGTCACTGTTGTTCTGTGCTTCTCAGCTGATATTCGGGTTAAGCCATTAATTTTAAGGGGGGGAACTAGGAAACACAATTAACACATTCAACAGAATGAAAGATCCCTTTAGATGATTTTTACATATTTACAGCTCAAGTAATAAATATGCTATATCTTGTATCGTTACTCTTCCGCTACAAGTTGGTATTTAATTTTAAATTTGAGCATATTTGTCCCCTTTGAAAATATGGAACACCCCATAGCAACATGGCGCTCTGTGAGTGTAAAATCGACCCGTTGCACTAGATAAACATTTCAAAATGCGAATTCTAACCCCTAGTAAGCCCGGAGACGAGGCCAACAAGACAGAGTAAAGCTAACAGGTACGTTGTATGTTGAGTTTGAGAAACTGTGACGTCTCCTGTGGTTTTGCTGCATACTTTTGTTGTAATGTTGTAAGGTGTAACGTTACCGATCCCGCCCCCCTCCCCACTAAAAAAAAATGAGACTAATCTTCAACACACCAGGACGTTGCTGAACTGTTTGAGCCAGTAAAACCATCTACCCAGGAAAAAATACATTAGCCTTGTTAGTTGGCACTCAAATCTGCATTATGTGATGTTAGGACGATACAAAAAAAGTATTTTTTTCCAGTCCCTTCCCTACAAAGTACTGTAAAATTTGAATCAACCCTACTCCATTGCAATAAGGTGCAATTCAGGATGTGTTGGTGCCATAATATGAAGCCTTGCGGGTGTGTCGCAAGAAAAACAGTTGTCACTTGTCAGCCATGTTTGTTTACATTCTGGTAGTTTGAGGTGGCACCACAAACTGATGAGTGTGCCTCGTTTGGCTGTCTTAGTCCCAACTATGTATGTTAAATGTCAGAATTGTGAGATAATTGCACAAATATATTTTGAAACATGGAATTAGATTACAGTGACACAAATAGTTTTGTAAATAAAGTATTTCAAATTATGGTGCAAGAATGTTCCTAATGAAATTAATGTCCCTTTAATTGTAATTGTTATTTGTCTTTACAGAGAAATCTTTTGAAAATGGCACATCCAGTAGTGCAGACTGATAAATCCTTGGTAAGGCTGCTACCAACTGATGCTGAGGCCAGGCTCGACCCCCCTACTGCTCTCTCCAGTGGAGACGTCACATCCTCTCCTGTTGCTATGGCAACGTGCCATCCTGACACGTCAACACAACAAGGCCCTGCAAGAAGCACACTTGCTACAGAACAAACAGATCTGACAGTTTTGCGCCCATGTAGGACCAGGGAAGACTCTGTGTATGATGTGATAGAGAGTGTGATACAGCAGGCACGAGCCAGCAGGACTGCCCGTGACTCTGAGGGTGAAGCTGGTCCACTGACACCATCTACATCTGCACAGCTAACTCTTGAGTCTGAGGGTGATGATGGTGACTGCAGTAAAGACATGGGGTATGTATATATAACACATCAAAGAAAAGACAACAGTACATGTATCCCTCATAAATTGTATATTTCTCTGTATACTTCAAGTTATACTACATGCTTGTAGTAATGGGATGGATGTACATGTAACCTGTCACAGTAGAGATGGAAATCCAGTAGAGTTGGCAACTCTACTAGTAGAGATGCCAATTCTACTAGTAGAGATGGGAATCGTATTTATACGATTCTAGCAGGGCACAGTCATATTAGTTACCTAATTCTAGCAGGGCACAGTCATATTAGTTACCTAAAATGTTTTGGAAAATAGACTGAATATTTCACACCTTAATCATTACTCAATAGCTGTTTGTACATGCCACTGAAATGTAAAACAGAGACATTTGCATCAGGCCATTATGAGTTAGAGACTACGTATTCCAATCTGTCCATGCCTCTATCTGTTCACAATGGTCTATGACCTGGTCCAGACGGCTGTGCTAATGGTTGAAATGTGTATTGATAGAAGCTCAATTTGATATCTGAAATATGAAGCAATTTAATTAACTAAATTTATAGTAATTGTGAATGTAGGCTTACCTTATAATATGATAAATTTGAAACTTTAGGTGTTCTGGTCTATTTAAAACAAAATTGTTCCTTGCTAGAATTGGAGAATATCCTGGTGTAACTCAAAGAATTCCCATCTCTACTGTGACATAACCCATAACCCAGAAGTCATGACAAGGACAGGAATGTAATTTTAATGATGTAATGCCAGCTCATGATCACCAACCCAAGTTACCCAACACACTAACCACAAGGCTAAAAGGACCAGTTGGCCATGGACTGGTCAGTTGGTAGCACTTGAACCCCACTGTTTAAGTGTTACATATTTGTATCATGAATACACACACTATTTTATCAGTATATAATTATGGTTACTATAGTCTATACTGAGTTATATACCATTGTATGTACTATACATGATTGTACTAGTATAAAGTAAATGTACAGTAACTAACCAAAATCTTGTAAAACAAAGTACAGAGCATCCTGAATCTATCTTATAATATCTATAATATATAATATACAAATCTTATTTCAGTGCTGGACATGAGGAGGCCACAGATGGAGTTTACGTCTGTCCCGTCTGTTCCCGCGAGTGTTCGGCGCCAAAGTACCTGAAGCTTCACCTGCTGAAGCACGAGAACGACAGACAGCGCCCGCTGGACTGCGACGTGTGCGGGAAAACCTTCAGTACGCACCAGAGCATGAAGCTGCACAGATACACACATACAGGTGGGAAAACCTTCAGTACGCACCAGAGCATGAAGCTGCACAGATACACACATACAGGTGGGAAAACCTTCAGTACGCATCAGAGCATGAAGCTACACAGATACACACACACAGGTGGGAAAACCTTCAGTACGCACCAGAGCATGAAGCTGCACAGATACACACACACAGATGGGAAAACCTTCAGTACGCACCAGAGAATGAAGCTGCACAGATACACACATACTAGTACAGATGGGAAAATGTGTGCTTTGTTTCAAAGTGAAAGAATGAAAGCAGATCAAGGATGGGAGTATATAGTACAGGACTGAGGTATATTATATACCGGTAACTTATGTGTATACTAGTATTGTTCTTGAATCTGACTCAAGCTCGAATTTTATTTTTGGTTCTACTTGCACTTGACTCTCTCTATATGTACATCTACTAGTATATAAATATAGTTAACTCAGCATGCGTAAAGCTTAATGAAGGTCTGTCTGACCAGTTGTTTTTGTACCAAACAGGAGAGAAGCCATACGTCTGCCAAATTTGCCACAAGCATTTCCGACAGGCAGGAACACTGAAGCGGCACATGGTGACCCACACGGGGGAACAGCCGCACCGCTGTCCACGCTGTCCACGCCACTTCTCCCAGCGCAGCAGCCTGACAGCACACCTCAGACTGCACACTGAACAGAACTCCTTCCTGTGTGTGCACTGTGGCAAGAGCTTCAAGACTGAGAGGTGGGACAGGGCTCGAAATACTTTTTTTCTGCATACATACAATACATGTACCTGTAACATGTACAGGTAACTCTGAAAATTATCTGCACCAAAAACATTTTACCTACACCACTCAGAATGCAGGAAGTATGGATCACACTAAAAATTGTTCAGAAACCATTGCTGTTATTTCTATCACTTCATTATAATTAGGTGGTAACAGTCAATAGTAGTAGTAGTCAATGCAGCAAAGAACTAGAAAGGCCAATATTTGCCTTGGAGCAAATACAGCGATGGGTTCACCACATTTTACGACATGGCAGGGAAAGAATGAGAAACACAAGGGAAAACAATGATTTACATTGATATAACTATAATATGAAGTAACATACAACTAAAACAACAGTTGGATAGCTATTCCCTACTTTATTGGTTAGGATTTTTAATTGCATAATGCAAACTGTTGATTTTCAAAATAAAAAAAAAAACGTTCATGCCCCGCATTCCAATGCTGGAGCAGGACAGCTTGAAATACCTACCAAAACACTTGAATACAGACATACTGTCAGTATGGAAATGCTCTGTGCAATCAAGTTAAATCCCAACAGCCAATCAGCAAGAAATGCTCTGTGCAGGTGGAAATGCTCTGTGCAGGTGTTAATCAAGTTAAATCCCAACAGCCAATCAGCAAGAAGAATAGAGGAAAGCTGCATGCCTATTGGTTGATGCCCTGCATTCCATTGTGATGACTCATGCCCAAACGTGGTAAACATGGCACACTAACACAGTAATACATTTGCTATAACACAGCCAAAAAACTCAAATAAAACCATTCTAAAAGCCTGTATCACAAAAATTTAAAAAACGCCTAGGGGTATTTGCCCACTGTACCTCCATACCAAATTTCAGGACCTTAGGCCCTAAAATGAAGAAGCTGAATCCATTTAAAGATATGGCAGGAGGAGAAGAAGTAGGAGAATCATCAGCAAAGACAATATGGTTTCACCACACCACGAAGTGGTGTGGTGAACCCATAAAAATACACATACTAGTATACATTGACATGGATACAGTACATGGACAAGTGCAGTTAATATCAGTTTGTGTTGGAGTCAAAGTGCATGCTAGCCTCACAGACAAAGCACCAGCAAGTTAGTGAAAAAACAATGTTACCAAACCTACATGTATTTTAGCTACCGAATCTCTTTTATCCTCTCCACTATTTGCAGAGAGGACAAAAAAAAGAGACATGGCAGATAAAATATATTTTTAACCAAGCTAAAATAATGATAGCTCTTAAAGGAGGTGAGTGTTCCGCGGTTAGGATAGTTGGAATAAACTTATTTGCCTAAACCATGATTATTTGTCCAATTTGAGTGTCTACTGGCTACTCCATTTCTTTTTTTATTATCTCTTAACAGGTACATGAAGAGACATCTAATCTACCACACAGACAGACTACCGTTCTCGTGTGAGCTGTGTGACAAGCGGTTCCGTACGCGGCTGAACATGCGGCGCCACATGCTGCGGATCCACCTGCTGGCCACCCGGAAGGTATGCAGGTGTCTGACCTGCGGGGCGGAGATGCAGAACCCGGGCGCGCTCAAGAACCACATGGCCGTCCACAGCGCCGGGAGGAAGCCGTACCGCGCGTACGTTTGCGAGATCTGCGGTCGGCGCTTCCAGCAGCGCTCCAAACTGAAGAAACACAAGCAAGACAAGCACGGAGACAGCGACGAACTGGACAACCATCCTGGACTCACACCGCAGGTCCGTGCGGACCAGGTTTGCCGCGTGATGACGAGGACTACGGGACAGCAGCGAGTGACGACGTACGAAATGATACCCAAGGACCTGGACCAGTTTGCTCACATTGTCTTTCCAGTGAACGGTCGGCCTTCCAGAGAATCGGACAGAGAAGGGAGAGGCCTAGGGGAGAGTACCAATAATCTGCCTTCAGCTGCACCAGAAGGAAGAGAGTCAAACACTGAAGAAACAGTAGCAACAGTTACCCCTGAACAGCCTTTCAGAGTGGGCAATGTTAATGCTTCAGCTAGCATGGTTACACCTAGTTCAACACCTGTGGGGTATTCAGCTTCACCAGCTGGAGTTTTCTCCACCAATACAACAATTTCAAGTCCCCTCTTACCAACAGGTGCCCAGGCAGCTGCAGCTGGTTGTTTGGCTGCAGGTGTTGCAGATTCCTTCAGCGCAGCTGGTACCTTAGCTGCAGTGAATACTTTTGTCCCCAGTGGCTTAACAGTTGCAATGAATGCACCGGCTGTCACAAAAGCTATTCTCAACACATCTTCAGCTTCATTTGCTGCTACTACTAGTTCCTCTCTACCCTTAGATGTGTTAGGCGGCAGTAGCCAATCAGTTTTGTCTGCCGCCAGCACTAGGGAGTCGGTGTCAGAAACTCTGGCAGCTCTGAGGGCCTTAGCTGCTCAGGAAGGTGACATGTTCCCACCCGCTGATTTCGATGTAGGAAACAGTGGAGGGCAGTATGCCACAGAACAGCAACAAATGAGCCATGAAGTTAGGAATTTGGGAACAAGTAGTGGAACACAGTGTGCGTTAGAAAGACACACACAACAGAGTGTGGAAGCCTCTGTTATCCCTCCAATAGGAATTGCTGATACAGTACAACAAACAGGAGAAGCTAATTATGAAGGTGGGTCTGAAACCCCGGGAACGAGAATACGGGTGGAGTCCCAGAACCAGGCTCTCCTGTCCAGAGTGCTGCTAGCAGGGAATGGGAGGGAGAAAAGGTCACCGGGGTCACGGTGGGAGGGGGGCGAGATCACCTGTAAGACATGCTGCCAGAGCTTCCCGACCGTGACCAACTTCCAAGAACACTTGAAGAAGTTTGGGAAGATCACGTACTGGGAGACGACAGAAGCTGGAAACAAGGTGATGGGTTTAAGATGCGTCTCCGGGAAAAAAGTAGCAAAGAAGAAAGAAAATCCCAAGAAGAGACAAGGAAAGGGAAGGAAGCCAACACATACTCTTGGTGTGCAAGAGCTCGTACCTGGTACAAGTAGTGCCCAGGTGTTAGATACAGGAGTGCCTTTGATACAAGACTCACAGACACTTAGCCACGAGCATTCTTACCAGAAACCTTATGAGCGGGAGTCAGTCGTTGAGTCGACTAACACCACAACAGCTTTTACAAAGTCCGTCCTGTCAAATGTGTCTTCTGTAGTGCCTGCTTCAGATGGAACGACGATTCCAAATAATACTAGTACTAGTAGTGAAGACAATTTTCCCATTTCTGTAAACAACAGCAATGACCAGAATGCTACAGGCCTAGGAAATTATGTCAACACCATTACGGATGCAGAAAGAACCACTAGAGACAGTTCTGAAAATAGACTGGCTGTGCTCTCACAATCAAATAACACAACTGCAAAAACTGCTGCACAAGGATCTGGTCCCACTGGCTGTGAACTAGAAAGTGAGAGTTGTTCTGTAGAGAAAGATGACAGATCTAGAGAAAGTGGTGCTAAGAAGGGAGCTGGGGTGAAGAAGAAGAAGACACCGGCAGGTAAAGGAGCAGTCTGTCCCACCTGTGGAATGAAGTTTGCCTACAAGTCAAGTCTAAGGACCCACCAGTTTATACACTCAGGTAGGGGTTATCTTTGTATATCTATAAAAATAACTTAACTGTTAAAGGGGCATCATTTTACAATTTTTCCCATGAAATGAAATAGTTATTTGAAAAAAATCTTTGTGCAATCGTCATTTACTACTTCTACTCTTCAACATATTTGTGCAGTTACATGTATCTACCCGGTAACATTCATGACATTCATGGTTGGTGGTCTGAGAATGTAAATAAACATTTACATGCTGACAGCTGTTTTCAACTTACACGCTTATAATTGGCATCATATATTTGGCACTTTCACCTCCTGAATGTATTTTGCAATGGAGTAGGTTGAAATTGATTCCGTCAACACTTATATAGATATGACCAGAAAATTTACGTTTTGTGTCCTAATGTTACATAATGCAGCTTAAATTTGCCCTCTCACACTTTTATTCTTGTAGAGCATCACCCATAGACGCTTCAACAGTTTGTTTTTAAGAGCGAATGTCTGTAAGGATCAAACAATGGTGGCACCGGTCAAAAAATCGATTTGGCTCATTTTTTGCACAGTGATAGTACTTGGTACATAACCCCTCAGAATAGCTTTCTTTTTGCTCAGAACCCCTTGTTGCCATGGCAACGGGCCAAAGAAGTTTTCAGGGCATTTGTCCAGATTTTGGCATGTACAAAACATAGAAATTGGCTAACTTTAGGGCACTATAACTGATCAGTGCTTTAGCGTAACGACAAGAGCAAGATGTGCTGATCAGAGCAATGCCTAAACTTGTATAAAATAGCAGTAAAGCCAATGTTCAGTAAAATCTGAGGTCTTGGGCACCCTGAATACAATGCACTGTTTTAAGGGTGTAAAAAAACTGAAATTTTGCCCAACTTTAAAGCACTGTAAGTCCCAAAAGGGGAGGATGTTTTGCTTGAAATATACACTGCATAATAAACCACTCCAGAGGTATCATATGCATGCTTGCAAAGTTTGGGTTCTTGTTTCGTTGCTACGCACTTGTCCTTAAACGTAGGTCAGTTTTCGTTATTTTGATGATATGTCATTTTGTGCTATCTTTGAACTAACATAAGCTCCAAACCAAACTAGTTCTTTACTTGAAATTTACATGAAGTATTAAACAACAAATTGTCTATGAAATGCATTCTTGCAAAGGTTGGGTTCTTGTTTTGTTGCTACGCACTTGTCCTTTAAAGTGGGTCAGTTTTCATTATTTTCATAATATGTCATTTTGAGCTATCTTTGACCTAGCATAAGTTCCAAACCAAACTAGTTATTTACTTGAAATTTACATGAAGTATTAAACAGCAAATTGTCTATGAAATGCATCCTTGCAAAGTTTGGGTTTTTGTTTCGTTGCTACGCACTTGTCCTTTAAAGTGGGTCAGTTTTCATTATTTTGATAATATGTCATTTTGAGCTATTTTGACCTAGCATAAGTTCCAAACCAAACTAGTCACTTACTAAAAAGTTACATAGAATATAAAACAACAAATTGTCTATGAAATGCATGCTTGCAAAGTTTGGGTTCTTGTTTCGTTGCTACGCACTTGTCCTTTAAAGTGGGTTAGTTTTCATTATTATGATAATATTTCATTTTGAGCTATTTTTGAACTGACATAAGTTCCAAACCAAACTAGTTCTGTACTTGACATTTATTTACAACATAAAACAATATGTACTCTGTGGAATGCGTACTTTGAAAGTCTGGGTTCTTGTTTTGCTGCTACGCACTTGTCCCTGAAAAAGGGGCAATTTGCATATTTTCATGTCATCTTGTCCTATCTTTTGACTCTCATAAGTCTCAACAGTAAACTGTTTTGCTATTTAAATTTACACTGAATGTAAACCTATATATTGTCTATGAAATGCATGTTTGCATAGGTCAGATTCCTGTGTTCTAGTGGCTGTACCTGTCCCTGAAAGTAGGCCATATTCTTCACTTGTCCACTAATACAAAATATTGGCTATCTTTGGGAGTCTAATATGAAAAAGGAAAGGTTTTAATTCTTCTATCTCTAATTTTGCCAGATCTATGCCTTGGGTTGTTTATGAAATAGTTAGCACCAACGTTTGCATGATATAGTTGTAGCAATGTGGCTGTTATTGAACGTATGCCATTTTATCTTAATTTGATGATAACAGTCTTATACAGTCATATTTAGCGTCCCCACATTATTGACTCTCGAAGACTTGACTTGTTTCTATATTTGAAAAAAATATAATAAATCCCTGCGCATCTTTTTAATATATAGTCTATCACTCTATGTCTATGTCTTTGTATAACTATGTCTATGTGGAAAACATGCATTTCAGTCAACTCCGCTATTCCTGTACATGTAGACTGTACTCATTTTGAGCAATTCCACATATTGTTTTATGTTGTAAATAAATTTCAAGTACAGAACTAGTTTGGTTATGTCAGTTCAAAAATAGCACAAAATGACATACTATCAAAATAATGAAAACTGACCCACTTTAAAGGACAAGTGCGTAGCAACGAAACAAGAACCCAAACTTTGCAAGGATGCATTTCATAGACAATTTGTTGTTTTATATTCTATGTAAATTTCAAGTAAATATCTAGTTTAGTTTGGAACTTATGCTAGGTCAAAGATGGCACAAAATGGCATATTATCAAAATAATGAAAACTGACCCACTTTAAAGGACAAGTGCGTAGCAACGAAACAAGAACCCAAACTTTGCAAGCATGCATTTCATAGACAAATTGTTGTATTATATTCTATGTAAATTTCAAGTAAATATCTAGTTTGGTTTGGAACTTATGCTAGGTCAAAGATAGCACAAAATGACATATTATCAAAATAATGAAAACTGACCCACTTTAAAGGGCAAGTGCGTAGCTATAGCAACGAAACAAGAACCCAAACTTTGCAAGAATGCATTTCATAGAGAATTTGTTGTCTTATATTCTATGTAACCTTCAAGTAAATAACTAGTTTGGTTTGGAACTTATGCTAGGTCAAAGATAGCACAAAATGGCATATTATCAAAATAATGAAAACTGACCCACTTTAAAGGACAAGTGCGTAGCAACGAAACAAGAACCCAAACTTTGCAAGCATGCATTTCATAGACAATTTGTTATTTTATATTCTATGTAACCTTCAAGTATAGAACTAGTTTGGTTTGGAGCTTATGTTAGTTCAAAGATACCACAAAATGACATATTATCAAAATAACGAAAACTGACCTACTTTAAAGGACAAGTGCGTAGCAACGAAACAAGAACCCAAACTTTGCAAGCATGCATATGATACCTCTTGAGTGGTTCATTATGCAGTGTAAATTTCAAGCAAAACATCCTCCCCTTTTGGGACTTACAGTGCTTTAAAGTTGGGCAAAATTTCAGTTTTTTTACACCCTTAAAACAGTGCATTGTATTCAGAGTGCCCAAGACCTCAGATTTTACTGAACATTGGCTTTACTGCTATTTTATACAAGTTTAGGCATTGCTCTGATCAGCACATCTTGCTCTTGTCGTTACGCTAAAGCACTGATCAGTTATAGTGCCCTAAAGTTAGCCAATTTCTATGTTTTGTACATGCCAAAATCTGGATAAATGCCCTGAAAACTTCTTTGGCCCGTTGCCATGGCAACAAGGGGTTCTGAGCAAAAAGAAAGCTATTCTGAGGGGTTACGTACCAAGTACTATCACTGTGCAAAAAATGAGCCAAATCGATTTTTTGACCGGTGCCACCATTGTTTGATCCTTACAGACATTCGCTCTTAAATTTTATCCACATTTATTTTACAAAAGCAGTATACATGTAACTCCTAATATCAATACCGTCTCCCACATGCATACAAACTGGGATTGACAAGGAAAGAATTGAATACGAGTAACTTCAAAATGGAAAAAATCAAACTCTCTGCAAGGATTTTGTAAATAGAGGGAGACATCCTGTATTTGAACACTTTTGGCAACCATGTGTAATTCTTGTTTTTTTCTCACATCTTATTCTAGGAGAGAAGCCATATCCCTGCACAGTGTGCAAGAAGTCTTTCCGTCAGGCAGGAGATCTGCAGCGCCACCTAGTGGTGCACACAGGCGAGCGCAGGTACACCTGTCAGGTCTGCAAGAAGGGCTACAAACAGTCAGGTGGGTCAGGAAAGATGCATGTAGCCATAGAGTTGAATTGGGAATGTATTGACCCTACGGGCCTATTTTTGTTAGGGGTCCATGCTTTGGTAGACATACTAGTAATTGCTTTTTCCCACTGTTGTGCAATATTGCAGAATGTCAATATTTTGTTCTGCAAGTCTGAAATACTTTCTGCCAATACACGTTAATAAGGACCAATACCTATGGCATATAGTAATTACACAATAATGTTGGCAATCATGCAATTTGAACAAGACATGCAAGATTACTAGTATATTATAATAGAGTCAGAAAACAAAAACAATATTGTACCTATACCATAGAACCCCTAGCTTGATTTTTTTCCAATCTGCAACATTGCAGGTTGCTTAATTTTTCTTCTGCAATGTTGAAAATATCTCTGCAAAATGCAGACTGCAGATGGGTATTTCTAACACTGTCATAAGGATATTTTATTTTTTCCTCAGGACAGGATTGTGAAAGTATCCATTAAAACAGAAATGTGTTGGGTTTTGGAATTATGTTAAGCTGGGCCTTGGAATACTGTTAACTTCCACCAATGTCATGTAAATTTTTACATTAGGCCACACCAATTTAATTTGTTGGTTCTCGGATTTTTTTCAGAAAAAATATGAAGCGACAGGGCGAAAAAAAATAAAAATAAGAACAGATCTAGGCAGCTATTATAGGCTTAAATGCTATGGAATGAGCCATGAAGTCAACACAAAAGGCTGGGTTAAAATTTAAACATTGAATTTTGAACATTTAATCAAACCACTGCAATGATAGATGGGAAAACTGTAACAACTAGGACGAAAAGGACTTTCTTCAACTGTTGGGGGCAAAACATGAGCATTTTTCAGTTGATTCAGGACCAGAATCAAATTTTTTTTTTTTGCAAATCAGAAAAAAACGAAGAGGCGAATCCGAGAACCAACAAATTAAATTGGTGTGGCCTTAGGATAAAGTTTAACCAGCTTTTTTCTGTTGCTGATGCATCTGTGTTTTCTCTTAATCAGGGGACCTTGCTGCTCACATGATGGACCACACAGATGATGCTCGTTTCTCCTGTCCTGTCTGCAGCAAGAGACTAAAGCGGAAATGTGATCTCAGGAAACACATGTACACTCATACAGGTAACACTGAATAAGTTGCATGATGGTAATGACATATTGTGACACTTAAATGTCTTTATGCATGTGTCTGTGGGGATGTTGCCCTTGGAAAATACCAGTAGCTTCCATGGCAGTAATCAATGTCTCAAGTCCTTACCTGACTACCCTAACACATTAACTCAAGTCTTAGACTATATCTTATTCATCACATTCTTGTTATTAAAGACAGTTACTGATTGCATGTTTGTTTCCAGGTTTTTACCCGTTCCAGTGTGACCTGTGTGGGAGACAGTTCAGGGAGAAGGCCAAGATGCTCAACCACAAACGCAACAAGTAGGTCAACTTCCAGACTAGAGCTGTGTACCTAAACAAATTTTAGGTACAGGTACAGGTACAGGTACACAGGTTTAGGTACAGGTCCGGACCTGAACCTGTACCTGAACAATTCGACCAATTTATATGCTCTTCTGAACTCCTTCAATAACAAAAAAAACATAAATAAACTTGATAATTAAGGTTTATTCTTTGTTTATGGCGAATGCTCAGATAAAATATAGGCTATATATATGTTTTTGTTTTCATGAACACACTGTCCTTACACAGGGACCCATTGTTAACCAGCTATTTACACATTTGAGGTCACAAATAGGCATAAAATTGGTGTGAAATTGTTTAGGTACAGTACCGGTACTGAGGGATTAGGTATTTTGGACCTGTACCTAATCAATTTTACAGGTACAGTATCGGTACTGCGTACCGGTACACAGCACTATTCCAGACCATCCTTGATCTGTTAAGAAACTAGCCTTTTCGTTTTTTTTACCACACATACCACATTCTGTTTTACGAAATGTACAAAAATGTTCATTTGAGAAGCAAACAATACATAATTATTGTCACTTCATACAAGTGCTAGTTATTACTGAAAAAAAAAATTACATGTTCACAGTGGCGACAGGTGCGGGAAATAGAAAGTCCAGTAATTATTTGTTAACTGCCATGATAAGTTCATGGTTCAGATTCTGAAGTGACAGTGAACAGTACAATGAAAAAAATAGGAATTACAGTAACCTGTTTGTTCTTTTATGTTCCAGACATGGGGCACAGAAGATATTTGTGTGTGAGGTTTGCGGGAAACAGTTCCACCACCCCGGCTGCCTGAAGAACCACCTGCGTAAGCACACCGGGAACAAGCCCCACGTGTGCGCCGTCTGCTCCAAGGGATACGTCCAGCGGGGCAAGCTCCTCAAACACATGCGCACGCACCAACAAACCAACACACAGGTGGGGAGATGTTCTTATCATATCTAATAAGGCCACACCAATGTAATTTGTTGGTTCTCTTGGATTCACCTATTTGTTTTTTTTCCCGATATCCCCCCTCCCCCCCAAAAAAAGATTCTGGTTCTGAATCAACTAAAAATGCTCATATTTTGTACACAACAGTTGAGGAAAGTATTCTTCCTACAGGTTTTTACAGGTTTTCCATCTATCAATGCAGTTTAAAATTTATTGTTTGAGCCTTTTGTGTTGACTTTATGGCTCCTATAGCATTATGGCATTTAGTGCTACATGTATAATAGGATGCCTAGGCCTGGGGTGTTTTTTCCCTGTCGCTGCATATTTTTTCTGAAAAAAATCAGAAATCAGGTTCTGAAAACCAACAAGTTAAATTGGTGTCGTCGAAAGTCAATTATATGTAATATGGGACCGCACCCTGTCACCACCCAAGGTACAGTAGCAGTTTCTATGGTATTGTCTATTATCACAGTCATACATGTATGTGCACTGAATATGGGAGCCTGCCCAGGGCTAATACTAAGATTCATAGTTTGGAGGAGGTTTGGAAAAAATAGAAAAAAAAATTGTATTTGGTGCAAGCACGTCTAACCTCTGTTTCGGGGGAAAATGATGTTAAAATTGGATAAAATAATTGAAATTGAAACTTAAAATTGTGTTTTGCACCTACAATACTTTAAGGAGCTAAAATTATGTTACCATGTACCAGCTGCATTTATCTTTGATTATATTTCATTCCATACCACATGGTATGGATGAAATATATTGTGTTCTCTCATGTTTCTCCTCCTCCTTCTCCTGCTACTCAGTCAGAGGGATTCAACTCCGCCATCATTCGGCCAAATGACCTGGAATTTGGCATGGAGGTAGAGTGGGCAAATACCCCCAGACGTTTTTTTTTTTTCTTTTTTTTCATACATGGTTTTGGAAAAATTTTTATGAAGGTTTTTTGGGGGCATTTTTTGACAAAAAAATTGATTTTTGGATCCTGAGCCCTGGTATTACAACCAAATGATCTGAAATTCGGTATAAGGGTACCTTGAACGTGTGTCTACAGAATAGCAGTCACATATTTGGCACTTCCAAATGACTCATTTGGGGGGGCTTTAATCATGGCTATTTTCAGCCAAAAAGAATGGCCCGTTCCATCTGCCGTTGGCCATCGAACACTGCTCGAAAACATCGAACGTTGCGGGTTACCTGGGGTCACGTTACTCGTAAGTCGTGCGCAATGACCCACATATTCAATTTTATGTGCCTAAGATTATTACTGGGGTAAGTTTGGAATAGTCCACTTTTGCGTGGGAGGGAGATGGACTGAAATATGCTGTATTTGCTCGCAATCAAATGTCGGCCTTTCTAGTTATTTTTCATTTCATTACATATGATGTTCTGCCCTTCCGCAGGTTCCCCAGTGGGGGATAGTGGAGGAGGTGGTACTGCAGGAGACAGGGGGCGTTAATCTGATGGACCAGGGCTACGAGGAGAACGTCATGAACGTCTTCAGAACCATCGAGGCAGCCCAGGCCCTCACCTTCATGCCTGAAGCTGTAGTGGAAATACAGCTGTGAATAGCCTCTACCAGGCTTCAGAGAGCACTTCGGCAGAATGTACTGAACAGAATGGACCATCAAGGCTAAAGGTCATGCCTGAAGCTTTGGTGGAAAAATCTTAAGCTGAAAGGCCTTGGAAAAGAAGCAACTGAAATATAGAAAGTATGTTCAGGACCATCACAAAGCAATACTATTGCTTTTACACAGTACCATCATAAGAAAACAATACTACTATTATAGTAGTAACGTTACATGTATTGTTTTCTAGTGATGGTACTGTGTAAACCAGATTGTGAGAGAGTGAGTGTGTGTGGTGCAGCTAATCTGAAACTACAATTATATATGTACCACAAAAGGAGTGTTGATGGTATTGTTTGTGTTGCTGTTTCTACCTTCATCATCATTCTCTTCTACCTTAGAGTAGAAGAAAATACAGAATACACAATGTAGACAATTATGCGATAGACAATCAACCCTCAACTTCTGAGTCCTAAGAAATTAAAGATATACTTTATTGCTGAAAATTTTATGTGTACTTTCAGGATTATATTGTGGACAGGAAACAATATAGTTTGTCAAAATAAATTTGAAATTGATTTCGTGCAAAGAATTAATTTCAAACAGCAAAAGCTGCTAAAGGTTGAGCCAGTTCCATATGGATATAATGTCTTGAGTATTATTTGAGGTAACTTTGATTGTAAAAACTTCATGACAGAATGTATCTTGAGGACCCTACTCTTTATGTTTTTTGTAACATTTTCAATTATGCTTGTTTGTGAATGGATGTATAAAGCCTGATTTTGCTTAAAATGTTTTGATGATATTGATGTCACCTGTTATAGATTTGGAATATGGCTAATAACTTCAAAGGTTGCTGTTAATATAATGATATTTGATGGACAAATATAAAAGTTATAAGGTTTAATATATCTCAGACGTGTGTCATTTGTTTCCTTGTTGTTACCAGAAGCTCACAGAAACCACCATGCGTCATCGTAACATTAGTTGGGAAAGTTTAAATGTTACCCTTTTATGTGTAATATGTGCGATGAAAAACTGTACAAATATCTGTAGTATTTTTTGTCATAAAGTGTACTGTCAAGCATGTATGGAGTATCAAATGCAGTGTTGCACTTCTGTTATCTTCCGCAAGGAGGTACTTTTAGACCATTTGGCGTGATCACGTGACAACTGTGGCTCAACGAGGGATCTTGAGAGCAGCAAAACACAAAACTTACGAAAAATATTAAATAAATCCCAAAGTCTTTAGACCAATTACATAGAATGCACATATCTGAATGACTTATATCGCTTATGAAATTTAGTTTTTCGTGATATTCGGGATGAAAGTTTCGAAATTCCACATAAATATTTGGGACCTCTACATTTTGCTGCCATCATCTGACGCCATTGAGGGGGTGCAGAGGATCCCGGATTGCGGCGATGTGGACAGAATTTCGCTGAATTTCTCCACTGAAAAGGTAAGAAACAGTGGCAAATACTAAATTTTTGCGTAGACAAATACTTTTTCATTCAACTGGAACGTGTCATTTGCTGCAAACTTGCAGGATTGCTGTTGTGCAAGGAAAAGTTTGGTGGGGTCGTGCATGGGGGCTCGGGTGTTTGGAGGGTGTGGTTGGGGCCTGGGTACGCACGCAGACGAAAACGCGTTCAGTTTTCCCGGCAAAACTCACTTTTCTTCCACAAGTTGCTCCACTCGTTTGTTTGTTACATATTTATGAACTGCCAGAGAATTTTATAGCGCGCGGAAATTTCGTAAATACCTCAAAATCGACGGTAGACGGAGAGCTCGGAAATCGAAGCCTGCCCCAACACAAATGAGGCCCCAAATGGGGTAATCCACGATGCCCATATTGTAGAAGGCTATGGTGGGGTTTGCCTAAATATTGCTGCGACTTTGTTGTGAAACACTAGACATTGTATACGAACCTTTGAACATGAAACAGGGAAGCTGTTTTTTCTGTATATGTGTTGCTGTAGTCTTAGGGATGATTATGCCTATCCCTTTATGTTATTATAAATCAGAACTTGAACTCAACAGAGGGAAGAATTTGTTCTGAATCTGACCAAGGAATTTAAATTGGATATTGTAATATTTCAGGTGCCCCTTTCGGTTTTTACAATATGTTATAACATCCTTGATTTGGATCTACAATTTTCCAAAAAAATTTTCAACAGTCTAGCACCATTAAATGTAACTTATGTCACTTGTGTGGCTTCCAGCTCAATCATGACATTATGAGGCCACACCAAGTAAATTTTATGGATGACGTCCTTTGGAGACCCTAAATCTAATGCGAGAGGGCGAAAAAAAACAAGAAGGGCCCTAAAAAACAAGATGCCTAAATTAAAAATATACTAAGAGACGACAAATGTTAGGACACAAATTGAATGAGGTGACACAGTGTAACAAGCAAGAAGTCTTTTATTCATCATCAAAACAGCAATAAATCAGGTAGAACAGTGGACAGTGAAAAATCTTCTATTATTGACAGGATGGTCCTGTCAATAGTGCAAATTTTCTGTTATTGACAGGATGGACCTGTCAATAGACACTTTCTTTGTGTTACGGGTTTCACATCAACCTGTTGATTTGCGGCACTTTCGTGACTCTTTGGTCATAGTTACAGGAAGCGGAATTTCTTGTGTTTTTTCTAGGAACAGGCTAAAATCAATGCGCGCGGCCGCGCGCGGACGTCATCCATAAAATTTACTTGGTGTGGCCTGATACCTGAAAACATGGGAGCAAATAGTGAAAAGCCATGAAACACCATTTTATATATCATACTTGAAATGGAATTGCTTATGAATATTAATAATAAATCCATTGTGTTCATACAGGACGTTCTGAGTGAGATTGAGCCACAGTTACCATGGAAACCCAGGTGCCCCTCCCGGGCACGCCCATGGCGGTGCAGACCCAGCCGCCCCCGCCCCAGCCGTCCGGTAAGCAGCTGACATTACGCTTCCCGGAGCAGAGTCAGTCGCTGGTGCGCAGTTTTCGTGACTTCCAGCAACACGGACACTTCTGTGATGTCACCTTCCGTGTGCAGGACGAACTGTTCAGGTGAAAGGACCTTTGTCATGCCAGTGTGCCTTGCTTATTTGAATATTTTAAGTACAAATTTATGTACATGTAACATGTATAATGAGTTTCTATGTCTATGATGAGAATGACATGATTATGTTTACCTTTACAGAAGAAAAGGAGGCATACTTTTTGCTCTGTTTCTTCAAATTCCAAATTTCAATCAAAAACATGTTTGTAAGACAGTATGGTCAATGACAGTGGACCAGACAGCTGTCACCATCATGGTTTTCCAGGTAACTAGTACTAGTAGTAGTACTGTAGTGGTGTTGGATTACATTATGTAGCAAGTGGTGGGAGTTGGTGGGGCTGGTCAGCGTGCTCACCAATCAATATATTTCTCATTCTGTTTCTGATGACGTGCCTGCATTTCCGGTAGGTGCCACAAGGTGGTGCTTGCAGCGCGGAGCTCGCTGTTCCAGAGCATCCTGTCAGACGCCAACCTGCAGCCCAGCGAGGCCATCCAGCTGGACCTGATCGGAGCCAACATCTTCTCGGCGCTGCTCAGCTACATGTACACCACGGAGATCGTGTTCACGGACAACGATCGCGAGGCGCGGGACCTGCTGTCGGCGGCCAGCCTGCTGCAGCTGCACCCTGTGGTGGAGAAGCTCACACAGTTCCTGCAGGACAAGAATGCAGTCCTACAGGTTTGTTTTGTGTGGATCTCCATTTTAAATATATAGAAGTACAGATCTCAAATGATTTCCCATCTACCTGCATGCAAAAGCCGTGCAAAAGCTTCACAATTTTATTTAAATTGTAAATCATGATTTAAGGATCCTGATGAAACATCCATCCGACATCCTGGTTTGGCACAGGTACAATTCTTCTGTTGCCGTGCTTATTATGTTTACTGAAGGAAACATTGTTTTTGCTAGAGTTTCTTCTTCTTCCGTTCCAAACACTGACCTATGACCTGGTCAATGATCTGAACCAGAGTGTCTCATGGTAACTGGTATTTTGTTACATAATATTGCATTTTTATAGTAGAAGGGATTTAGACTCCATTATGTGAATGTGTTTGAGTAAGAATTATTAACAGAGCACCATTTGCGAAGATAAACATTATGCATTTGCTTTGTAATTAATGTAAATGTTACCTTTCTAGTTATGTTTAACTTGGCTTATTATGTTTACTTGTGCTTGTGCTCTTCTTCTCCAAACAAAAAGGTCAATGACCTGTACCAGACAGCTGTCACCATAGTAACTGTAGCAGGCACCCTGTGGTGTTGGATTGCGTTATGTAGCAAGTTGCAATTGCAGGACAGAGTTGGAGGGGAGAGCCGTGCCACCATGTATAAGTAATTAGAATACACAGAGCAGCTAGCTATATAGTTTATTAGGCTGCATTTTATGCAAAGGTAAACATAATGTACTAATTTTGCTTTGCAAATATTACCTTTCTTCTCGAGTTCTGCTGTCGTGTATCTTGCAGGCAGAGAGCAGAGCACTGCTCGCGGGAGAGAACAGGCCCGTACGTCCGGAGATGGTGGATGAAGGGACCATCACCGATGCAGCCATCACTCTCCTGCCGGCGGCCGCACAGCAGGGCGACGACGTCCACTCCCGCATGTTCAGCGAGATCCTGAGCGGCGGAACGACCAGCAAACCAGCCGAGCTCAGTAAAGGAGCGGAAGAAGTCGACCAGGCCGCCAGCCAGCCGTCCACAAGTACACAGCAGACAGACGTACCGCCAGAACAGCCACAGTACGCAGAAGATGAAGGCGAGGAGTCGGATTTGGATGCCGGCGCGATCGAAGACGTCTCGGACTGGGAGCCGGACGGCCCACCGACGCCACCCGTCGGGAAACGCAGGCGGGGACGGCCGCGGAAGGGAGAGAAGCGGGCAGCCAGGCCGCGGAAACGGAAGAGGAAGGAGAAGGGCATACCGGACTGGAACCTGTCTAAGGACCAGCAGGCGTGGGTGAACCAGACGCTGGAGAAGGTGGAGAAGAGACAGAAGAACTGTCCCGACTGTGAGAAGGTCTTCAAGACTCCACTGGACATGAGGAAACACTTGATACAGGTGTGTGTGTCTGTGGTGGTATCGCAATATTCCAGCCATTTTGTATATCATTATCACAACAGTTTTCTTTTGCGCCTGACACATACAAATTGATAGCTGTTTTCAAGTCACACTGACTTGCCACACCCAGACTACATGTAGATGCTGCATCTAATCATCCAATTTGTTCTCTCCAGGCTGGTTGAGTGCATGGGCCCCTATATATATGCTACGATTTGGACCCCCTAAGCTGTGATTTTGTGCCTACATTGTCTTTCAACCAGCGTATACGTAGGGGTGTTTCTTTTTGGGGAGAACCCTGTGAGGCTGTGATCCTTCATAAATCTTTAACACCTGGGAAAAGATAAATTTACAAACTTTGCCCCTCAAAAAGGAGGAAATAACGTTGAGGGTCATGACTTTTTGGGGAGGAATGCCAGACCCCCTACTGTTGTCATATCTTTGGAAGTCAATGTGCCCCTAAGCTGTGAAAAATTCTTGCAACAATAATTGGTATAGATATCCAGTCTATTTCTGGGTTAACAACACATACATTTGTGATTCTGACTGCTGCTTGTTGTTTTTGAGAGCAGGTTCACTCCCCAGAGCCGCTGTTCCGCTGTCAGTACTGTCAGATGACCTTCCGCACCTTCCTGGGGATATCACGCCACAAGAAGGGTCACGAGAAGGAAGAGGAGTGCATAGGTAATTGTTTGTTTGTTTGTTCAAGCCTTTGTTTATTCATGACATCAAAACAGCCTGCTGGTTGCTTTTCATCGAGGTCATTTTACTTATAGTTATACTTGAAATTTGTACAGAGAAGTCTAGAGATTTAAGTATCACCATTGAAAGCTGCATGAAAGTTTTGCAAAGGGCAATTAACAGCTGTGCATTTCTCGACTAGAAGACAATCTCATGCAAAAAGCCTGTTCATATTGCGTTCAATTCCTGTGTAAGACATGTGCAGAAATCCATGCAATTGTGACTACTTATGTAGTAGTAATTAGTAGTAGTAGTAGTAGACTGGTTTATTATTAAAATCAAAGACAAGTCACATGGCAGCCAACAGGCAGAACTGACAGACTCGTGTACAAATTGGCAGGCAATATTGATCCCCTTAAAATATCTAAAATCGTTAAAATCGTAATACAGATAAAAGCAATATTTAGTATGAAGAATATTACTGGGTGTCTCCCCCTGAAGCACCGAACTACAAAAAGTCAATCCGCATGTGCAGTTATGTGATACAGTAAACTCTGACATAGACATATAAAGTTGTATATGTCATAAAAAACAGTATCAGGATCCTTTTGACAAGTAAGATCGTTAAGTGTATGCATTACATACACAGTCAAAACACATGATTGCAGGTAATAAGCGCATGCTAATAAGTGCGCAGCTACTGCACAAGTTTTACTGGTAATGGTTTGTTACACTGCTTTTCATTGTGATTCAAAGACAACTTTTGCACAAGAAATAAGCTAAAACTGCAGGAAATACTTTTTTTGTAAATATACCATAAACAATGCCTACACGGATGTTTTGTGTTCCCAGCTGCAGTAGAAGGGGCTCCTGAAACACCCCAGATGGAGAGAACCAAGCACCAGTTCACAGAGGAGCAGAAACAGTGGATCAGAGACACGCTGGAGGACGTGGGGAAGAGACAGAAGAACTGTCCGTCATGTGACAAGGTGTTTGACACACCTGCCGCCATGAGGAAACACCTGCTACATGTGAGGGTCTCTCATTGCTGTTCCTGTGTAATGTGTACATTGTTACATGTGGGTGTCTCTCACTATGTTCTTGTGCAAAGTGTCCATTGCTATATGTGACTGTGTTGTAAGGATCTCTCACTTCTGTTCTTGTGTATAAATGTCCATTGCTACACGTAAAGGTCTCTCACTGCTGTTCTAGTGTCCATTGCTACATGTGAGGGTCTCTCATTGCTGTTCTTGTGTATAAGTGTCCTTTGCTACATCTGATGGTCTCTTATTGCTCTTCTTGTGTAAAAGTGTCCATTGCTACATGTGAGGGTCTCTCACTGCTGTTCAAGTGTCTATTGTTACATGTGAGGGTCCCCACTGCTGTTGTTGTATATAAGTGCCCGATGTGAGGGTCTCTCACTGCTGTCGTGTATAAGTGCCCATTGCTACATGTGAGGGTCTCTCACTGCTGTTCAAGTGTCCATTGTTACATGTGAGGGTCCCCCACTGCTGTTGCTGTGTATAAGTGCCTAACGTGAGGGTCTCTCACTGCTGTCGTTGTGTATAAGTGCCCATTGCTACATGTCAGGTTTTCTCACTGCTGTTCTTGTATAGAAGTGTCCATTGCTACATGAGGGGGTCTCTCACTGCAGTTATTGTGCTTAAGTGTCCATTACTACAGTAACTGTGACTGTGAGGGTCTCTTACTGCTGTTCTGTGTGTAAGAAAGAGCCTCAATTTTTAATAACATGTGGGTCATATTTAACAACTCTAGGAACAGAAGTATTAAAATCAGGTTTACTTGTTATGATTTATGACAATTGTATGTGAATATTTGTTCCCTTGCAGGTCCACTCCAAGGAGCCCCTATTCTCTTGTAACATCTGCTTGGCGAAGCTGCGTACGAGCAGCGGTCTGCGGCGCCACTCCCAGACACACATCCAGAACAAGCAGCACATCTGCCCCATGTGTGCCAAAACCTTCAGTCGCAGGGACCATCTAGTCAAACATGTCAGGGTCCATACAGGTAGGGAGGGGGGTGATGTGGCTTGGGAAGGGGTACTTCAGGAAAGGTGGTAATTATTGATATTATTAGTCAGGTTTTACACATTTAGAAAAAGAAGCATGTGGCCTAAACATTTGCAAAGCCTTCATTTGCAAGGACAATCTGGTCAAGTACATTTTGTTCATCTGATTTCATCCATGTTTCTGTCTCTTTAGTTTAATGGTCAGACACAGAACTTTGAAACAAAGGTCACATACCAGGCCTGGGGGGGAGTAATGGCTATTGAGTAAAAGTACGGAAAGGACATTGTTGATATTTGTTCATTGTGTTGATTGTTGTCCTGTTGGTTACACAGGAGAGAAGCCGTATAAGTGCCCTGACTGTGAGCGCCGGTTCAGGACTAACTGGGAGGTCATCCAGCACAAACGTTACCAGATCTGCAACACTCAAGGTCACATATCAGCTTAATTCCATAACATCTAAATTCTAATGTTCATCATAGTATGAAACATTCAGCAATTAGAAATGCTTTTTTTTTTAATTTCCAGTACAAAATGTACTAGGTTACGGACCTGTTCAGTAATAAAAACCAAAAAGGATTTTACCATTACATGCTTTTGAGGGGAGTGCCTAGCAGTTTTAATTTAATCTGTTCTTTCTGTTTTGGTCATGTTTTTATGGTAAACGTTATCAATAGTTCTTGTTTGTTTTGTGCAGTTAGTCATATTTTTTTAGATTGACTGACAGAGAGAAAGAGAGAGGGAATAGTATCCTTAGTTATTCTTCATGGGTTTTGCTTAAATTCACCTTGTATTTTTAAAAGTATACTCTCATAAATCAAGTCATTTTTTGACACTCTCTTGAACTTATTATATGGCATACCCCTAAAATTGAATGGCCTTAGATACAATGGAATTTCTCTAAGATACATGTACATAACTTTGTGTAACATTTGCCATGCATGTGTCTGCAGGTCCTTTCATCTGTAAGCACTGTGGCCTGGAGTGTCGTGGTGCGCCCTCCCTCAGGCTGCACGAGGCTGAACACAACGAGGAGAAGCAGTTCCAGTGTGAGGTGAGAGGGGGTGCTGCTGCACAATGCTTATATAGCCAACCAGTGGCACACTACACATTGGCCTCAATTATTTTCTCTGACAAAATCCATGCTTTGAGATCAGCCTCAGGGCTTGAAATTGTGGCCTGATGGCCACTGACCACTAACATTTAGGCCGGGACACCTAAAAAGACACTTTGGGACATTTTTAGGACAACAGAACAATAATCAACAACAGAATGTCAGCCCTTCTTTTGGGACAGTGCTGGAACAATAGCAAGAAAAGTTAATTTTGACACCCGAGCCTTTGATTTGCTTACTTGACAATCTATAATCTGAAACTGATATAACTGCGCCTTTCATCATGAGAAGAATTATAGTATGATAACTGGACATTGATTCAGGAATTTCAAATGAAAGGATCATTCTTTTTTTACCATTTTCGCATGCGCGAAAATGGTAACTCAGACGAGATTGAGATTGGGTCAACGGATGGATGGATCAACGGTTCCACCCTTCAACGGCCATGCAGACATGCTAAGTCACCGCATGTCGCTAGATGTCGTTGTTGCGACGGCCATGCAGACATGCTGAGTTGCCGCATGTCGCTAGATGTCGTTGTTGCGAGTGCACTTTTTACCATTTATGCCTTGGACGTTTGTATACTTTCCATTATGGTTGCTAATTTCAAAATCATAGTTCTATTAATGTTGCATAACAAAGCTGCTGACAAAACAAACTTAATTTGTCTTGAACAATAACTTGATTTTATTATTTGCCAAAAATGTTGATAAAGACATGTCTATAATCAAGGATTCACAGTAATCAAGGATTTTAATAAACTGCATAAATTATGTCAATGAGCATTAGCAGTGTGGATTAGTCTAGATGTTCAGATTTCCATTAGCCGGCAGTCCAGAGGGTCACACGTCCGACCAATCAAGGCGCTGCAGGCAAAGCTTATTAAAAGCCTCCTTTCAGGCGTTCCCGGATCGGTGTTTTTGTGTGTGTGTGTGGTTGGGGGGGGGGTGTATTTTCTGACCAAACGTAGATCGCACGCAATAGAAGCTCCGGCCTACATAGCTGTCTGTGGAACTATTTATATTACCTGGGTGCCTAACTTTCACCAACATGTCTTTTGTATTTTAGGAAATTAATTAATTAATGAGTGAGTGTTTAATTAACTTAAATAGGTATTGCATTGTTTGGCAAGGTATTTTCCATTGACAATTTTTAATAGATCAGGTTGATCAAATGATATAATGTAAACAATTATATATGATTAGTAAAAGATGACTTTTGAAGTTCTCTTCGAGTATTATTTTAGGGTTGAATCAGGGTCAATGCGAAAAAAATCATGATCCGGTGATCGACATCATGCCCCCCCGCACACTTCATGTATTCAGTGTTCTAAATACCCGTCTTCAGTCTGCAATTTGCAGATAGATTTTCAAGATTTCAGGATAAAAATTACACAATCTGCAATTTGAAGAATGAAAAAAAAAACTATAGGTCCTCACAACTTCATATTCCCTTTGTTTGACCCGCCCGGCGCCCAAATCCCGCTGCGATTCAAGCCGCGGCAGCTTCCCGAGCCATGCAAATAAACCTAGTCCTGACGCCACAGCCTCCGATTTCCACCGAGCCAGCCCCGAGCGCATGCCGACAGCGAGGGATGTGGCTCAGATTTCCGACGATTTCCTTATTTAGATCATTCGGAAGACTTCGGGTAGCAAACAAAATGGCCGCCATGCACATGATTATACTAGTAGCTTCGCTTCTCAACCGAAATGAGGAAGTTTAACCTCATTTGCAGACTTTAGCGGCCATGGAGTTGATTTGGGGAAGTGCTGAGACGCGATTTCGCTACGGCATATGGGATTTTGCCGCGGAGGGAGTTACGTACGCCGGCAAAAACTTGCTTCAGCGATCGGCTCCAGAAAATTTATCTTTATGCTGCCGCTCAAGTCTTCGAAGGTGGTTTAACGAAGTTTATATAAATAATAAAGCCACTTTGCGTAGATCGATCTCCGTTTTCTTGCGATGGTATGAAAATTCAAGTACAGTATATTTTCAAAACGTTTGATATTTCTTTGTTCGTTGCCACATGTTGTTTATTTATCTTATTGTCATGTACAGTTACCAGCGTGAGTCTGAGTCGAGCCATTGTTCTTATGTGGCCGTTAGCACATGTTGTTTAAACAGACAGCAACATTGAAGAAAAGAACCGAGTTAACAGACATCGGCACGTTCCTTGAAGTCAGGTTTCCCGCCGTATTTAAATAAGAAATGTGTGGGCCCGCGGCGTTTTGAAAAGCGCGACGCGCTTTGGAAAGACCCCGCGCCGTGGCTCATTCAAATTCGCTACATTTTTGCTAAGTTTAATGTCTTCACCCACGATTTTTGACCGTCAATGTTGACGGTAAGGACTTAAATTTTTACCGTCCGACGGGAAAAAATACCGTCAATTGACGGTAAAACGGGCGCTGGCTAAAGCCCTGGTTGAATGTCACGAGGTTTGTAAACTTAGATGTTGGGGACAAAGCCATAGAAGAGATTTTGAATAAAATTATATATATATATATATTAACGTTACTTATAATTTAAGTTAAAATGTACTTTTGTGTCTCATTTTTTTATTCTGTTAAAAAGACTCTTAAGAGAGAGAAAACAGGTTATAAACTGTTATATACTTGATTTTTGTAATGTTTTAAACTTAAAGAGTTGAAATATAGAAGTGCATGTTCTCTCATTATATACAATGTTGATGAGAACTAGAACCATTTATATAACTTAGGTAAATTGAAATGATAGGATGGGGAAAATGTTCGTAAAAACTGTAAGCCTGTAAGCGGCGAAAATGGTCAGCTTTTGCAGAAGCACTTGTTTAGAGTTGTTTACTCTCTGAGTGTTGTCAGTATGTTGTCATGGCTGTATGCAGCTACTGTGAAGATATCAGAGGATTTTTACAAACTATTTGGTAAGTAAGGCATGTGTGCTGTTATGACAGTGAATACTTAATGTTACAGTACCAGATATAATGTACTCTGATACAGAGGTAGCAGTTCTGTAAGATTTTAAAGATTCTATAATATTCGGGTGTAATAGTCCAATTTTTCCCCCCAGGTATGTGGGAAAGGCTTCGCCCTGGAGGAGAACCTGAAGCGTCACCTGACGGAACACGCAGACATCCCGTCTGTCCGCGACACGCTCAACTACAAGTGCTCGCTCTGCCGCTTCGTCACCACGTCCAAACAGAACCTGAAACACCACGAGCTCAGGCACAAGGGAGAACGCTCCTTCCTGTGTGACTTCTGTGGACAGAGCTTCCTCACAGGTACAGGGCTCGAAATTAAAGGTGGTCCACTGACCACTGAAATTTAGGCTGTGACAACTAAAAAGACACTTTGGGACATTTTGGGGACAATAGAAAAATGATCAACATCAGAATGTCAGCCCTTCTTTTGCTTATCAGGGACACGTCCCGGCTTTTGGATCCGGAAAAGTCCCTCTTAATTTGCCGTCTACTCTGCAATTATAGCGTGCCTGGGAGTGAACATAAACAAAATAAAGTTGACTTCAAGTTGAAGCCATACAATACTTCCCGAAAAACCTGTTGGGACAGTTCATCCTCACTTCAGGACAATTGGAATTTATTTTTTGGACAGTGCTGAGACAATAGGAAGAAAAGTTAATTTCGAAGCCTGAGGTAGGGCTATGTGTACCTATTCAAATTATTGCCTGTCAAATTATTTAGGTACAGTACCATGCTGGAACATCTTGTGTACCTGTATCTAAATACAAAATGAATAGCAGTAGACACCTTTCTTACACTTAAAGAAAGCTCATCACAGATTCAGAACCTTCCCCTGACCACTTAAGCCAGCAAAGGTTGGCTGAATTTCGGTAGCAGTCTGACCAGATTTAAACCACACCTACCTTTCTATGCACACCAAATCAAATTTGAGTCAAATTTGACCCTAAACATACTTGAACACTGCTGACCTGCTCCCGAATACCAGCCAAACATCACCAAACCTCGCTTCTACATGTCTTTTTTAAACATTTTGAAACATATATAAATTAATGTACTAGCCTACCTTGCTCCTGATCCCCTCCTAACCATGGTTGGGATACTTTGGCAGTGTTTGGGAGTTCATGTTTGGCCCTATTATGTGTGACTTAAAATACCGGTAGGTAAATGGCATCTCAAAGAGGACAATTTTGACAGTTTAGCACTTGAAAATCAAACTATTTTAAATCAAGAAATGCTAGATGAGTAAAGACGTTCTTTTTACACAACCAAGTGTTTTATTCACAGCCGACATTTCAGTGACCATCTGTCACCTTCCTCAGGGCAATTCTGACTGGTTCACATTGCATTGCAGCTCAGGTGTCGCAGGTATAGATGTGCAATATGAACCGGTCAGAATTGCCCTAAGGAAGGTGACAGACGGTCACCAAAATGTCGACTGTTCATAATACATGTAGTGATGTACACTTGGTTGTGTTAAAAGTGACTTACCAACCTGATAAAACTATTCCTGGATGAGAAATACTATGTTTTACTTTCACCATCACCACACAGGGACCAAGCTGAAGCGGCATAAGTACATCCACATGTCAGAGTTGGAGCGTCCTCACCACTGTCAGCTGTGTGGGAAGGGCTTCATCCAGAAGAACCACCTCAAGATCCACATGCAGAAACGTCACCCGGAGTACGGCGGCCGCGGGCCCGTCCCGTTTACCGGGCAGGTGGCCCCGCAGCCCCAGCCCGCGGCCTGCTCGCTGGCGGCTACGTTCAGTAATGTCCTGACGGTGGACCTACAGCAGTTGGTCAGCAGCACGCACCACCAGTAGTCTTAGCTGTGGGTAGTAGAGTAATTAGAGCCATACCAATTTGATTCTTTGGTTCTTTAACATCTCAAAGTTCAAGCAATTATAGAACATTTAGTAAAACAGGTTCTGGTGGATTTCTTGAAGCTTACTTCCTCAAGCTGTATGTCCATGGCACTGACTTTACCCTCAGACTCAGTTTTGTGTTCTAGATCGGCATTGTTCCTTGTATGAGAACTAACAAATATTTTGAATATACTGTTGCCTATAAAGGAAGCAACATTTATAGTGTACTGCTCTTACTTGTTGACTTTATGGTCAAAGAAGCTGAATGTTCTCTGCTGATATAGATGGTTGGCACCTACTTTGTATTGGTTTACTGTGGCAGGGAATGACTAGAATGACCATTTTGCTTGAGACCTTATTTAGCAGAAGATATTTCTCTACTTCTAGAGCTACATGTACGTAACATGGCACTGATTTCCCCCTCAGTCTCTTTTCATGTTCTAGATCAGCATTGTTTTCTTGTATGAGAACTTGACTAAATTTACTGTGGCCTAAGGATATGACGACATATACCCATTGTGATATAGTGTACAGTGCTGCCTGTCAAGTTCTTGGTGGCCCAGTGAAAGAAGTTGAATATTCTTGGCTGATTTGGATGTTTGGCACCAAGGTTGTATTGGTTTACTGTTGTTGCAGGGAGATGTTATAAATGATAGGAATTTGCATCAGTGAATTGTAAGATACCAGTTTTGGCGATTTTTTTTTTTTTTTCACATTAAACTTATTTTGCAGACTATTGCATTTGTATATGCAATGCATGTTTAAAATTTAAAAGCAAGTGTGCCCACTGCTTGTTAAATTGCAGCACTTGGTGACATTTGGATTTAATCCACATTGCCTGCATGCACCGTTTTTCTTTCTTTCTTTTCTACAATTCATAACCTTTTGCAGAATCGATTAACAATAGCAGAATAAACCAATTATTATGCTGATGTATATGGATAAAGTGGATAATTGAATGCAATCTTTTTTGCATGTTTTTCATTTGGGTTCGTAGGATTTCAGGTTGGTAGCTTATTTTGGCAAATTCACTCACATTTTGTCTGGGAGGTCGTCATTGTGATAAATTGTAAGATACTGTACAGAAAAGTGTCTGACCATTTGGGGGCACATATGAGAGCAGATATTACAGCTTCTAGAGTTAGATGTATCTGTTCCCAAACATTTACGTAAAGTACTGGCATTCTATTTTAAGTCATGTACTGAACATTACTCCTCACAGAACACATGACCTCTTCTATGCTACCTAAAGTACATGTACTACTATTTCAGATAAAGTCATACTAATGTTAATAGATGCATTTGTCCAATTAAATTATACAGTGTAATGCATATTATCCACATTGTGAGTTTAGTAGTTTTTTTTTCAATTTTTTTATACTGCTGTGGAGGTCCCTGACAACTAACTTAAAGCTAATTGTGACAGTCATTTTGTTCAAGTTGTCTTCGATTATTTGCACTAAGGCCACACGGACTTAATTTTATGGATTTTTCTGAAATGATCATGCCAAACCAGATAGGATTTTGTGAATGATATTGAGGGCAGGGATGAAAACGCTGAATGAAAACTCATAGTTCAAAAAAAGTTACACAGATGAATTAAATTAATCAAATAAATAAATAAATAAAATTGGTGTGGCCTTAACTCTGCTAGTCTGAATACAAGCACACTGTCATAGCTTTGAGAACCATGCACATGGGGGGGGGGGGTCCATCCATGCATTCTACAGTTTTTTTGTAGGTCACAAACATACAGTAATGGGAACTTCAAGGTGTACTGGATCATATTTTGGGGATCTGATCACTAAATTGATATCATAGCCATAAAGCTGAGTACTGTAAGAATTTTTCTTACTTTTATTAATTTGTTTATATGTAGTAGAGGGGATTCATTCCTCAAGCTAACCGACATCTCCCAAACGCAGTCGTCCCTCAGTAAGCCATCTGGAGCTGCATACAATGTAGTTCCCCGGACCCATTTAGAACTTTTATTCAGCCTGTCGCACCTTTCATTCATTTGATTCTACATCAGATTCTAATAAAGACACATTTTTTATTGGACTACATTGTACCTGGTGTAGAATTTGCACTGGGGTAAAAGACGGACTAACTTACATCAATTTGATAAAAATATGATAACTAATTCCTGGTTTAATTGTTGCATAATGAGTTGAAAAATGAGTACCTACACATGTACCTTGTCCCTTGACCTAGTCGTTGGGGGTACAAGGCAGAGGTGATGATGGTCAGCTTTCTAATAGTAGACTGTATGTAGATAACTCTCTTATATTACCAAATTGCAACTGTTACAGTTTTTTTTTTTCAGAAAATTTTACAAAGCAAGAAGATGTTGCATGCAACAAAATAAAACTTTTTATCGCATGCAGAGTCACACCCAGATTAACCAAAATTCATAACAGTCATCCTTGGTCTGCAGAATAGTTATGCCAGACACCACATGAACACAAATTAAAGAACATTCAAAAGAAGCTGCTTCCAAAGCCTTTTGTACAAGACAATTTACCATATGATTAAGGATTACTAGCCTGCCTGAATTTACTATTAAGCGTTACCTGTCATTGCCAGGATGCAGACACCTATATAATGAAAAGCTTATTGCAAACTAGAAAGGCCAATATTTGCTTTAGAGCAAATACAGCGATGGGTTCACCACATTTTACGACATGGCAGGGAAAGAATGAGAAACACAAGGGAAAACAATGATTTACATTGATATAACTATAATATGAAGTAACATACAACTAAAACAACAGTTGGATAGCTATTCCCTACTTTATTGGTTAGGATTTTTAATTGCATAATGCAAACTGTTGATTTTCAAAATAAAAAAAAAACGTCCATGCCCGGCATTCCAATGCTGGAGCAGGAAAGCTTGAAATACCTACCAAAACACTTGAATACAGACATACTGTCAGTATGGAAATGCTTCTGTGCAGGTGTTAATCAAGTTAAATCCCAACAGCCAATCAGCAAGAAGTATAGAGGAAAGCTGCATGCCTATTGGTTGATGCCCTGCATTCCATTGTGATGACTCATGTCCAAACGTGGTAAACAAGGCACACTAAGACAGTAATACATTTGCTATAACACAGCCAAAAAACTCAAATAAAACCATTCTAAAAGCCTGTATCACAATAATTTAAAAAACGCCTAGGGGTATTTGCCCACTGTACCTCCATACCAAGTTTCAGGACCTTGGGCCCTAAAATGAAGAAGCTGAATCCATTTAAAAAATGGCAGGAGAAGAAGGAGAAGAAGAAGAAGAAGAAGGAGAAGGAGAAGGAGAAGAAACATCAGAAAAAGCAATATGGTTTCACCACACCACTTCGTGGTGTGGTGAACCCATAATTATATTACATACTATGTATATATGTACACCCTTACTCAAGTGATCATGAACGTGATTAGGTTTATTGCAAATTATATTACATAATATACATGTACACCCTTACTCAAGTGATCATGAACGTGATTAGGTACTCTGGATATGCCTGTGCATCATGAAACACACAGAACATGCCACTACCACTGGTGGAGTCATAGGTGTCCAATAGACCTCCCCCTGGTATGGGTGGGGGGACGATCAAGTTGGGTTTTCCAGGTGTGGACAGTCCAGTCAGCACCTTGGCCAAGAACAGCCTCTTGTGGCCGCTGGCGTCAGGACTGGCATCTGAGTAGGACGCGTTCACAGCAAAGTAGACCCCTTTGCCAATAGCCGCTCCTGTAGGGCAGCAAGGTAATAAGGAGACCCTCTATGTCTAATGGATTGTTTCCTATAAACACTTGTATCTACATGTAGATCTAAGTAGTCCTAATTCGATTGCAATTATCATTACAGCAAGACACTGCATATTACAGCATAGTGCATGCTGTCAACAATCATAGCACTTGCACTATGGAATGTTACTGATTTTTACGAGACAAAAGTAGTCCACAGTTCTTCACCAAATTTTGCACTGATGTAAAAGTAATGTAAATAATGCTACAGACTAGATTTAGGTACTGTAACAGTCTAGATTAGCTGTTTACGGATGGTGCACTGAAATAATAGATATAATGCTCCAACACTTAGATAAAAATGTTTGAATCGTGAAGCTGATGTACATGCACATACCATAGACACCTGCATACAACATGTAGCTCCTGTTGAAACCATTGTGGTAAATCTTGACACAGGAATCAGCTGAAGCCCCATGCCACAGCTCCTGCTCTATATTTCTGGACAAAATATATGATAAGAAGAGATGTAAAACATGTACAAAGATGACCAAGACATTTACAAAGATGCTGGGCCCTGATTTGTAAGTCTTCTTTAAAAGTTTTTCCCATGGGATGCATGTTAAAATTCTATACATGGAGACCCTTGGAAAAAAATTGGACATGGATGAATGGTGTTCACATGGCAAACAGAAAAAAAACAATCAAACAAAAGCAGAACCATCGAACTAAAAAGGAGCTATATTTATTTTTGTCTTACTGTCCAGGTCTCTTCAGGCTGATTCTGTCCTTCTGTGCACAGTACTGCCTCCACAGTGTTGGGTTCTGCACCCTCTCAATGCTCACAATGTTTCCCAGTCCAGACTTGCTGCTGACAGTCTTGTACTCAGCAGAGGATGACTCTAACTTCACAAGGTGGCACAACTTGGGTTTCTTGGACTTTGGGTCTGTCGGCTGAGGATCCCAGTGAGAAGGAACTGCACTCAGTCTGGTCACTGTTGTGTAGGATCACAAAAAAAAGTATTACAATTAAGTTTAGGGGAGACTACAGATACAGATCTTTTAGACTCATAATTCCCAGTCTCTTACTCATATAGTATCTGACTTTATCTATCCAACTAAAATTACAAGTGATTCCTATATTTAACAGCAATGATTCTACCTTAGTTAGTAATTACCGCCCAATCTCAATCCTGCCCTGCATCTCGAAAATTTTGGAAAAACTGATATACATTAACAACTTTTAAAACATCTAGAATAGTTGGAATATTTTTAGATCTAAGTAAGGCTTTCGACACTGTTAATCATTCGATTCTTTTTAAAAAAACTCAACAAATATGGCATCAGAGAAGTCCCACTTAAGTGGTTTACTAGTTATTTATCCGATAGAAAACAGAAAACAGCACAATACACAGTGAGTGCATATTAGCCCAGGAAGCGGTCGGTTGTGGTTGGTTGTGGTATTTACATTCAATTTGTAGTCAGGCCCAACAAACATATTCAAGCCATACATGTATTCAAACTCTTACACACCAAACAGGGCTTTTATATTTCTGGTGAATTGTACCGATGCAAAAACATTTTGTTTTAAACAAGTATCAATTCAATTCTTAACCAGAACAAAGATGTGCTTTTTCTGCAAGACATACCTGTTTGTTCTTCATTTCTTGCTTGGCCAGTCGAGTCCTTGGGCACAGGCTGTCTCTGCTTCCTTGTTAAGTCATCCCCCTGATTTTGATGCTCCGTTGTCTGCTTTAGCCGGTCCCTCTGCTGGCCAAAAGATTTTGGTCTAGCTCCTGTGCCCTGTCTTGTCTCCTTTGACTGTTGGATTTCTTGAGTCTTCTCCAAGAGAAGCTTTTGCAATGCCTCGTTTTTCTCTCTCAGTGTTCTTACTTCATCTTGAAGTTTGTCACTATCCCTTAGCCGATTAGACAGTTTGGTGTTCTCTGCTGTCAGTTCTACATTTCTTTTTTCTTTGGTCTTCTTTGTGTCCTCTAACACTTGGATTGTCTCCTTGTGTTCCAAAAGGACTTTCTGAGCTTTCTCTTTATCCTCTTGAAGTTCGTCATGAGTGAGTTTCAGCCGATTAGACAGTTTGGCATTCTCTGCTGTCAGTTCTTCATTTCTGGTTTCTGTAATCTTCTTTGTGTCCTCTAACATTTGGATCGTCATCTTGTGTTCCAAAAGGACTTTCTGTGCTTTCTCTAGCTCATCTTTTTGCATTGTTACCTGCTTGCTCAGACTGAGGATCAAAGCTTCTGAACCCTCTTTGGCTGTTTGTACTTTGAGCCGACTCGCCTGTTGTTCTAATTTTTTCTTCACCTGTCGTAGGGCTGTCTGTACTTGTTGGTCTGTAAACGTCAATGGGCATGTACCTGCACTATCTATTGCACCTTTATGGGTGTGATCTTCCCTGCTGAACATTGCTAGGTCCAGGCCCCTCAGACTGGAATGGCCCGCGTGCCTTGTAGGGGATGGCAGGGTGTTGATGTTGTCCACAGAAGTCGCATGGTCTAGACCTGTTTATTAGGAATTATAGAGTCAGTATAAGCAGAGTAAATATTTACAGGTAAAACAGCTATAGTTAAACCTATCATGAGATCTTACATGAAATTCAATGAGAACTGTTAGGTAAATCTACCATCTTGTGCAATGTTTCCCCCAGACCCCTGATATATATTAACTGTCTCAGACCATCCCTGGGGCTTTTACTCCTCATTATCTGGTTTCATGTTTGTATTTCTCCACCCCTGTCATAAAGAGCTCAGAAAATGTGTATTTAGAGGAAAACAACATTTTTTGGCGACGTCTAATGGGAGGAGCCCAATGGTACAGTATTGTGTGCAGTTTGCAAGAATTCTAGGAATGGTTCAGGAATTTTGTGCACAGGAATGGAATGTCCACAGGCATGTCTCTGACCCACATCTATGCCCACATTCCTGAAAACCCTTGGGAAGACCTCTCTGCCCTGATGGCCCTACTTTCTGTGACCCCGGGGCTCGTTCACTATACACTCAGGGGAGAAGTGCACTGTATATGTCAAGACTTAACGGGTACCAAGACTTAGTCTTCCCCAAAGTCATGAAATGATGGCAGTGCCATGCAAACAATAACCCTAACAGCAACCACCGTCGCCATGGCAATGTATGTTTTTCTTGCCAGTCTTGTTAAGTTTAATACCTCTAGCAGAAAGTGTAGTGAGGATGTAGACCATGGCCTGCTTGAAGTCTTCCACATTGATGGTTGCCTTCACCACGAATCTCTTGGTAGACAGCTGTAATGCAACCTCACTGAACAAACAACTGAAAAACATGTTGTTCAGTTCCCCAGATCTGTACATAAACCAGAGTTCACCTAGTCCTGTCAAGTCTGTACATTGCAGGTAGAATGCTAGGCAGCCTCTACTTGTGACTTTGACACTAACACCTTTGATTTTCTCAAGATTCTTGATTGATTTTATACTGTCAAGTAGGTCCTCTGCAGTTTGGATGCCAGGCATTACCCGTTCCAGCGTGGCAAAACTTTCATCTGTGAATGTAAGTATCTCCATTTCAGTAGCAACTTCTTTCAGTTGCCCAAGGTTCTCGATAGTGGGCTGCACTCTTTCTAGAATCTCCACCTTAATGGGCCAGACTGGAGGTTCTTCTGAAAAAAAATTGTTTTATAATATTGCTTGCAAATAAACTAGACACCAATTAAGTTGTTACTAATAGACAACATATCAAGAAATAAATTATAATGTATATTCTTTAAAAAGATTGATGCCATTATTATTAGTGACAGCACTGTTACAGTACCTACATGTAAATGAATATTATATTAAGTTGTTAAATATCCTTAAATATTCTATGCAATTGCAGAATTCTGATCATTGTTTATGGGTTAGTGTTGGTTGGTTTCAACCTATTTCTAATATAATCAACTTGAAGGCTTTTATACTGCTAACTACAAAGAAGTTAATGTTCAATGGAACAAGGCAAAAAAAGAACTCCATTGTTAACTGACCTGCTAACATGGCCATGATGTTTGTTTTATGGCATATCTTACCTGGTTTTAAGGCTTTAGCACCCTCATCATATTCTACACGTACAGGAGAGGCACTCCTCTTTCTCTTCTCTTGAGCAGGTTGTTGTGTTCCATTCCCTGGAGTCAATTATAACATACATGTACATCAAGGTTAAGCATCATGTTGAGCACAATCTTACATGATGGTCTGAATTGATGTACATGTAACTTGAAGTTCTCTCTTCTTAGGGATATAAAGTCTGTAGATTAGACCAAGGATGGTTTTATTACAAAATCACTGACCAAATAAACGACCATCATTTCTGTCCATATTAATGTGATTTAAGAATCAATCCTTAAATTAAAATCAATCCCAGTTTAATGTAAACACAAATAACATTTTAAAACATTGATACATATATGCAACATAACACATTGTGTAACTATGAGCTGCTTTAAAAAATTCCTGTTCATCATATTGTTATAGTCTGGAAAAATAATGCTTATAAATCACCTTCAGTCACACATGTACAGGCTTTGATGAATTGATGATGAGACTCTTTCCAGTACTCTGTGGACAGAAGCTTCTTCTTACATCTTGCTGCATCTTCAAACTCTGTCTTGTTGTTTTTCAAAATGTCCTCTATGCTTTTAGCCAAGTGCTTTGCGCCTTCTTTACTAAATTCCATCATTTCAACAATGGAATGGCGCAGCTCTTTTATATGTTCTTTAATGAAGTCTGCCAGTCCAGATTTGCTTGATACAAGAACAGGAACGCCAGCAGCAATGGCCTCCAAGCCAATCAGTCCAAATGGTTCAGCACAAGAGGGCATCAGAACAAGGTGGGCTTGCATCATGTGCTGGCAGATGTCTTCTTGTGAGTCACAACGATAAAGGGTCACTTGTAAGTGAGTTGATTTGCTGTGGTCAAGAATTTCCTTGCTTGCTTTAAAGTCATCTTCGTTGTTGACTACACTGGCACGCCACTTGATATTCCTCCTCTCCGCAACAATGCTCAGGGATTCAGCAGTAAGACTTGTGACTCTACCAATGGAGAGGACAACCATTGTCTCTGCCTCAATGTAAACAGGCCTTGCATCTTCAAAGATCTTGGAAGGCCTTGGCACAAACTTGACATGGTGAGGCGGCTTCTCTTCATCACATATGGCTCTGAACTCGTTTTGAAAATAGTCAAATATCTTGTTTCCGAGAGAAAAGACTACATCAGCCTCTTTCGCATCTTCAAGGATGGACTTTTTCTTTGCCTCTATGCACATAGCCTTTTCAGCTCCCTTGTAGTTTTCAGTGTCCTCTGGTATGTCATGGGTGAAGAGGATGACTTTTGCATTTGGAAATCTTTGTTTAAGGTTAACTGCCGCTTTGTTTGTGATGTCAAAATGTCCAACAATGCTCCTGACCTTTGAGGGAAGATGTGGGTATCTTGAATGGTGATCAAAAGTAAGCCAGGCCAGGGATGGTTCCCTTGGGTCACCTGTGTAGACTTGAGGCAATAAAAGTTCAACTCCATCATGGTGTGCGTCCTGTTTGTCAGCATCAGTTGCATTCAAAACAGTGCTGAACAAAGGTATATTAGGTCGGTGTTCTCGGAGTGTTAGTACCAGCTGCCTGTGTGTGGAGGAGACCCCTTCCTTATATTTGCCATACTCATCATGGAGCAGCAAAATGGCAGGGATCTCTGTGAAACAAGAACAAGATATTGTATGGATGGGTTTCCATACTTGGTACAAATGTAAGTTGGTAGGATTTGGCAAATTAAAGGTAAAAGTGGACCCCCAACTAGATGAAGGGCATGTGTTTTGGTGACTTGGAATTTAAAATAAATCACACACACACACACATGGTGAAACCAACAGAAAAAGTTATGGCTGAGCAAAAACAAAAACCATGTTACTGATGAATGAAGTAGACGTACATGTAAGACTTAAGCTAAAGATTGCATTAGTTTGATCCACAAGAGTTTGTGGTAAGAAATTGTTGTCTTGAATCACACGAACTTACCCATTAGATAACGTTGTCCTAGCCCATCATTTGTAGTTTGAAAATCTTCGCGTGCTGCAGGTAAATACAAATGCAGTATCGAGTGAGGCAAATTGAGAAACAAATGGGGGTAGCAAGAAAATTCGGCGAAAGATTATGATGGAACTTATGTACATTTGGTCGTTCATCGTTCCCTAAATACACCTTCGCACAGGATATTGTCGCTTTAATTCAATCCAGAAGCTAAGACTTAGTCTTAAGTCTTATCATGCAGTACATACAGAAGACACCTCAGCTTACTTCAACGTTTTCTTCGACAGGTATCAGCATAGAGGCTTAGAGTAACCGCGGACATTGTGTCTTGCCTCAGGCCAAAGTCCACTTTAGTAGCCGGGCACCTCAGGTAACTGCCTTTCTCATTGGTCAGTCCGCTCACGAGTGCTTTCCTATTGGCAGTTGTTTTCATAGTAAATTTTTTTATTTAGTTCAACACTTATTGTAATGTCTTCTTCAGAACCACAAAGACTTCTATTTTGCTATGATAGCTAATTGCAATATGCCGCAGCAATCATGGCCAACCTAAATCCCGAAAAACATTAGCACTGCGACAGGTTACTGTAACATATCTTCGGTAAGCAGGCATTGTAGCTTAACTCTACACTTACTATGTGACATATATAACCATAGGACATGCCTCGTGTTACATATTTTACACTAACCTCGGGAAAAAATTAAAAACCACCTCATACAAGCTTAAGTGGCTGCCGATAGTCTATGACCAAAGCGTCAGTCACGAGACTACACATGCGTTAGTATTAACTTATTAAGTATGTCGTGGGTCATATGTGTTATTCAAACCCACGTTAGCAACTTCTTTCAGCAATCTAAATCCCGATAACATTAGCACTGCGACAGGATACTGTAACGTATATCCGGTAAGCAGGAATTGCAACTTAAGCAGGAATTGTCACTGTGTGACATATATAATCATAGGACATGTCTCGTGTTACATATTTCACACTAACCTCGGGAAAGATCATAGAAGACCGCCTCATACAGGTGGCTGCCGATAGTCTATAACCCAAGCGTCAGTCACGAGACACCACAGGCGTTAGTATTAACTTATTAAGTGCGGTCGTTTGTTTGTGTATTTATTTATTTAAATGCAACAGTGCATGACAAGTGGCAACCAGGCAGCAACAAGGCTGGTAGCGGCTACCACTGACACATAAGTGCATAAATACAAGGCATGTCAAAATACAATATTACTTAGTACGTACAAATTCAATTCAATATTATACAATAGCAATATACATACAAATTCAATCAATACAGAAACAATACAATATAAGTACAATACAAATCGATAAAATGATCAAAGTTGAAATGGAACGGTTGGAGGATTTTTATTTTCAATTGGTGTTTGGGTAATCAGGATAAGAGGTGGTGTTTGCATTTGGCCTTGAATATGGAGATGGTGGCCGACCCTGTGACCTCGCGTTGTAAGCGGTTCAACAGTCGGGAGGTGTACAAAAGGGTCATATGTATGGATCAAAGCCACAGGGAGAGATATTTTGCAATAAATGAAACCACCACACAACACTCTAAATCACAGTAAGATGTAAGACCATGCTGTGAAATGACCATTTACCAAGGAAAAGCTTTTGATAATGCTATCCGTACAGCAGCAACATCCACGTTTCAACGTCGCCGGGCATAAACCTCTACGCTAAGTTTTGTGACTTGGTCACTAAACAAGTAAGTACAATGTAACTATAAACTCAAACAACAATTTTGCTGTCTTTGCACCAGGCCGACTTTTAACACTGTAACTTTCCCTCTGTATGTTTTCTTCACAAATAAAAACAAGACTGGCAATGAAAACATACATTGCGATGGCGACGGTGGTTGTTGCTAGGGTAATAGTTTGTATGGAACTGTCATGATTTGATGATTTTGGGGAAGCCTCATTGTGGTCTGTCATAAGTTTGTCAAAAATTACATTTGAGGTCTCGAGTCTCTAGGAAAACTTGCCCTACTTTCTGTGAACCCCGGGGCAATCTAAAAACTGGTAATTTTATATCATTATTATAAAGTTTGATATCCTATGTGCATCACTGGATGTATACATGTATACAGATACAATTCAATTCAGTAGACCACTCCTACCCTCCCCCGAGTGTATAGTGAATGAGCCCCTGGAATGTAGGTCATCCCCGGCAGAAATGTTTTCCCAGGGTTTGCAGGAAGTTCACTAACTAGTGCTGTGGGCATATACGTGTGTCAACAAAATTCCAGAGATGTGAGACATGCCTGTGCGCATTCCATTCCTGTTGATAAAATTCCTGCATAATTCTCAGAATTCTTGTAAACTGCACACAATACTGTACCATTAGACCCTTGCCTGAGACGTCGCCAAAAAGTGTGATGTTGACAATTGCAGCTGATACATGTACATGGTGATCATGTATCTTTAAATATTCAGACACACCTAGACGTTTTCCCTTTTTGTAGCCCATGTTCACGTCACAGTGAAAGCTTAAATTGTATGCCGCCACTTAACAACCTAATAATGAGCGGAACTTGTAAAGGTTGTGTGATATATGAGTACATGTTCATCTCCTTTTCCACATTGTGGAATAGGTAAATGAATAAAAGGTGCTAGTTGAAAGTCGTTTGGAAGATAAATCATGAAACCCCATAAAACCAGCTAGCAATATGTATTATATATCTAAATAAACGGCAACCTCTCCAATGCATGTACTATATTTTACCCCTATTGTTATGCCAACATTGTATATGCAATACAAAAACACAGAAATCTACCACTTCAAGCAATGTGGTACGTAAAAGCTCTGGTAAATACGCAGACACACAAATCAATCAAGCCGGCGTAGTACATGTAAACAAACATTGATATCTGCCCTGGAACCCAGACTAAAAGGTAAGAATAAATAAATAAAAAATAAAGGATGGGTGGCGTCCTTGGTGCTGATCTTGTCATCTGCCGTCCTCTGCTGGGTTTCCTGGCGTAACCACATTACGCCCAAAATACCACATTTACTTGCCGCTCTTTACCCTGCACTGTAAGTCTGGTGGTAATGTTTTCTTCTCGCGAACGAATGGTTTGCGCTTTGTTCAGGTAATATTGTGCGAAACATTGTGATGGAACTTAGCAATCCATTTGGTCATTTATCGTTCTCGAAATACAGCTTCGCACAAAATAATTAAGAAACTAGTATGGTAAGATTCTGTAAAAATGAACATCTACCAAGGGAAATGTTTTGATAATGCTATCGGTACAGCGACAACGTTTCAACGTCGTCGAGGATAAGTGAAGGTCATTTTATTTATTTATTTATTTAATCTTCAAAGACACCTGGGTAGCTCCTTCAGCCAAAGCTGATTTCCAAGGAGGCCCAGGGGGGTACAATAAGTAAAAGAATAATAAATTATACAAAGTACATAACAAAAGATGTAAATGAAATCAATATAACTGGAAGTAAATGAATAATACGAAGTTCAACATGAACTGAGGGAATTTACAAGAAAATATAACTTCAAATCATAATCATAATCAACGTAAATCGATTTCCGTTCAAAATGATTGGAGGTCAGAGGTCGTCTTTAAAGCTGCCTTGAAGTGTTTTAAAGTTTGAGTCTGCCTTACTTCTTCTGGTAGTCTATTGATTCAGAAGTACTTTGCACCCGTGTAAGCGAAGGCTCGCTGACCAGTTGAGGTATTGTATTTTGGTAAGTGTAGTTTAGTAGTCTGTCTGGTGTGATATGTATGAAGATTATAATTGTGCAAGAAAGTAGAGGATAGGTATGTGGGCATCAAGCCATTCAGACATTTAAATACTGTTACACACACATGTTCAAATCTTCTTTCAGTCATGGACAGTAGGTCACTATAATCGTAGTAACGATACAGTGTAACTAAACTCAAACCAAAATTATGTTGTCTTTAAATTACACCAGACGACTTCTAACAATGTATATTAAGAGAGATGGGGCCGGGTGGAAGGATTCCCCACTGTTGTCATCTTCACAAATAAATAAAATGTGATGGTTACTGTTTTGACCACAACAATCGCTGACCTGTTTGGTAAGTTATGGATATATAAGCTGCATCACCTATCGAAGTACGCAAGCACTGCATGGTATTATCATGGATCACTATTTATGTCAGGCTCCTTATGTTGCAATTCCTTAGTCAGTTTGTGTGTAATCGCAGAAAAAGTCGTTTTTACAACATGAATAAACTCAGAACTCAGAAATATGTGATGTTACGTCAAGTGATGGTAACTTCCTGACATTAGGTGAGCAGGCTCAGAAATATGAAATAACTTTTACACCTGTGGATATGCTTAGATATTCTAGCCTGAAATCAGCTATTCCTAATGTTTGGAAAGATACAGTAAAGAAGGATCAGCTTGATGACTCGGTGGAAGAAACCATCGCTTCACATACTTTTTCTTGTAAACAGTTGTATGACATGTATTTAAAAAAACATTTGAACCCCCAACGGGCCAAGACGAACTGTTAAAAACTTTTGAACATGAAAACAGCTTTAAATGTGTACTTACCACCTTTCATATGTAATAAGAATGTTAAATTACAGTATTTTCAGTATACGATAATACATAGATTTTTGCAGACAAATTGCTATTTAAAGAAAATTAGAGTTACAGACTCGGACAAATGTCCATTTTGTGATAGTAAACAAGATCTAAGCCACTTGTTTGTGGATTGTTGTTATGTTACTAAATTTTGGAATGACTTTCGCTTATGGTGGCTCGACACTTTTTCTGAACATATTGCACTAACGAAAACCGATGTATTGTATGGTATAATTGAAAAATTGGAAAAAATAGACACTTGAATCACTGTTTATTATATGCAAAATATGACATTTTTAAGAGTACATCATCGAATAACAAACCTTATTTCTGTAATGCATTATTTTCATGATATTCGAGACAAACATTCTTCGTATTCACACCTCAAATATGTATTCTGTGTATTATTATATTCGTATTAAGGGGGGCTTGCCACACGGTTTTTCGCTGTATGTTCATTTCTTTGATAAAAAACTCAGAACTTCCGAACTGAATCATGATACAAACACAGCACTTTAGTAATCAGATTCGCATTGCATATAGGCAACACCATGGTCTGTAAAGTTGACTTGGTATAGGAAAACCGGAAATGAGAGGAGGACTGTAGTCTTCCCAATCAGCCTCTGCCTGGGGAATATGGCTAGAATCAAAACCACCTTACTCTCCTTCTGTGAATAAACTCAGGCAGTAGCTTCTGCTCTCTACAGCCGGCAGCACAACCCGTGCCCGAGGAGTAAAATCGTACATCGCCTTGAAGTATACAGTATAGTTCTTACACACTCCGTAAGGTGGCGCTTAACATTGATTACGACCTATTGTACCACAAAGTTTAACATCCTTACAACCTGAAATTGTTAGGTGTTGCCTTTCCAATGGTTCAGCCTCTACTGCAGCTGATACATGGTGATCATGTATCTTTAGATCTCTCAGACTCTCCTAGACGTTTTCCCTTCTTGTCGCTGTGTCCCGCGATGATAAAGAATATAACTTGTAAAGGTTGTGTGATACATGCACAGCTGTTTTGCCATCCTTCTACATTGTGGAATAAATAAATGAATAAAAGGTGCAGAGTTGAAAGTCATTTGACAGATGAATAGGAAAAAACATAACAACAGCAATATATAAAATCGCCAACCCCTCCTATGCATTTCATGCACCAAATTTTACACCTATGGCTACGCCAACATTGCATATGCCCTCGGTAAAAAAATACCTCTTTAGAAAAATTATGGAACGTAAAAGCTCAGGTGAATAATTATATAAACGAACACACAAACTGATCAATCCGCAGTACATGTACATAAACATTGATATCTGCAATTTATCCCCGAAAACGAGGCAAGGATGGTTGGCGTCCTTGGTGCTGATCTTGCCATCTACCGTCTTCTGGTTTCTTGGTTCCCTGTATCCATAACACATTTACTTACCGCTATTTATCTTGCACTGTACTTCTGATGGTAATACTGCCCTTCTCGCGGCCAAGTTTGTTAGAATTTCTTCTGGTAATATTGTGCACATTCACAGAGTATTTCAGGCACACGAGGCCGCAGAGCTACCTTTCGGGCAGAGGGAAACGTGCAATGATTTCGGTCATTAATAGGCGACGCTTTTGATCCATTCTGTGATACCGACAAGACCCTTTACTTAGTAAAGATGATTGATTGATTGGAACCAACACGTCCTTACTTACGGGACGTCTAAATCCTTCTTGATGATACTTACTTTTAGTAATATATTATAATTAGTGCACACCCATAAAGGCCAAGGACATCTATGACAACACGAAAACGGGCATGGCATTTAAAACTACTTAGGTGTAAAGAAAAAAAGTGCATCTTCTCGCGTATACTAACATGTATAACAAACTTCAAGTACGTCCAACAACTGCTGGGAGACGAGTACAACCAGCTAACAGAGAAGCAGATCGCAAACCTTGCTCGCGACAAGGGGCAGTGGAGGGACCTTTGCAGTCGCCTGCGCAGCAACCCACCGATGATTTATTTATTTTTCCGTCATTTTATACAGGGTGGCCCATTAAGTGATTGCACTCCTTTTCAATTGGGACCTGTTTTACACAGCAAAACACAACAGTCACATACAAACAGTAAAATTGGGATACAATAAATAATGATAATAAACAATAACAATAAAAATAAAACCTCCGATGTACACTGTAACTTCTACTATCATGAAAGTTCATCTGTGTAAAGTTGAACTTTTGCTTCACCAACAAGATTGTGTTAGTTCTTGATTTTTGAGTGGCAGTGGTTTTCCTGTCAATAATAAGTGGTGTGGGTTTTGTCTCCCTAGCACCTTAGTCTGGAACTGCAGAGGGGTTTCTGGCGGAATCTTTCAGAGCAGATAAATTTACAAAGGTACAATGTATTTGTATCATTTTTAATATGTGGGTAGGTTAGACAGAGATCTGCACTATTGGATGCAATTTATGGAAATGATGACTTCATTTGCATAACTAATGAGGAAATTCCGTAATGCCACTGTTTTATATCATGGGACTTTGATACATGTAATGTCTATGATCTACATGTATGGCAGGTGGAATTTCAACAGATACCAATTATGCAAATACGGACCTAATTTGTATAATTAATCTGAAAATTCTTTGACTCCTTAGTGACAAATGATGGGAATTTTTACTTTGGAAATGTGCAAGTTAATTAGCAGTTAACATCACAATGCATATTTTATGTTAATGTACAGATCATTCGCATAATTTAGATTTACATATCAAGCCCATAATTCATGGAGGTATGAGATCTCGGAACTCTTGATGAGAACTTGTTTTTCAAACTTTTTTCTAGTGACAAAATGCATGTTATAGTTGGCAGTAAACTTTAATGGCACAGTAAAGGTATCATTTGTTGTTTAACAAAGTTTATAATGTCAAAATTTGAAACTGAAGGAATCTTAAAAGTTTTTTTTCGACCTGTCGCATTAGATCTGCGGAGAATGTCATTGTTGTCTTCGTCAGAAGGACTATGAAATTGTCTCGCCGGAGTGTGGGGAACTGCGGATTTTGCAATATAACTCTGGAAGGCATGATTCGACGTCCATGATTTTTGGCAGGCAGATTACCGCTGTTAAGGCCGAAGTCAAGTACAAGTTTTGGCTTCGTGGGGGGTCCGTGCGTCACGTTAGTGCACCTTTTGTGTTTGTGGCTTGTTAGCAAGATAACTCAAGTATTTGTAAAATGTTGATTATAATTCTTGGTGTGGTGCTTACTATTGTCGGGACCAAGGTTAAGTTCGTTACTGAGCTTCGTGGGGGGTTTCGTTGTGACTACAGGGGGCATTTTGTTCATTTTTCTTGTGAGCAGGATAACTTTTGTATGTGTGGATGGAAGTTAATGAAACTTGATAGGCATATATTACTGTCGTGGTCTCCAAGATTGAGTTCAAAGATGAGAGTCGTGGAGGTCGTTATGTCCCCGTAATAGGACCTTTTGTGTTTAGAAATCCCCCACCTACATCTGCTTGGAGACAGCCGACAGCTGGATATAGCGGGGAACCCCATAATGGATGGGATCAAATGACGTTACATTGAGGGATTGTACTATAACTTCAGCAGGGGGAGGATAGGTTGGACATATGTCAGGTTATTTTCTACGGCCACACCAAGTAATTGCTATGGATGACGTCCACTGGAGACCTTAAATCTAATTACCTTAAATTTAAGGCAAGCGCGCAATAAAAACACGAAGGGCCGAAAAACGAGATGCCTAGATTTGGAATATACTAACTGTAGAAGTACAAATGTTAGGACACAAAGAACACAAGAAACAAGTCTTCTATTTGTCATAAAGACAAATTAACAAAACAGCAGTAGTCACCCTGTTCTGATTCTTTCCTTTATAACATCTTCTCTTATTATATTTTGCGGCGCTGTCGTGACACTTTCAACACAGTAAGAATTTCTTGAACGTTTTGTTTCCAGTAACAGTCCAAACTCAAATAACTAGGGGGGGGGGCTAACACGGGTGACGACGCATCTGTATAATCTGCGGCAAACCGTTTCAGGGTGTTCTGTACCATAGAAATAGTACAGAGATTCTTTTGTTCTTTAGACCAAATTGATTATTAAAAAGATTGAAGAATACGCATGTTAATTTCTCTAGAACGATGTACCTCTGACGAAGACATGAGATCTTCGACCTCTAGTTATCCATAAAATTTACTCGCCTAGGCCTAAGGCTTAGCAACATTCCATAATGTTACACTGTACGGATCATCAGGAGCTGATAAGGTCAGGGGTCAACTATCATCAGATGCTCATCCCATTGTCACTGCACCACAAGGCGGCAGGAGGCTCGGCGAGTGGAAACCTGGGCAACACGTACAGTTTGTAGGTAGGATCGGAAGCGGGATGAACGTTTATGATACATTTGAACATGGAAGACAATGCTAGTAGTTTAAACACAATAGTAGAAATTTGAGGAAACTTAAGGTAAGCTGTATAATAAGGCTTCAATGGTAACGTTATATATTTACCTCCCTCTATCATGCGGCCACGCGGCGGCCGGAGGTCCCCAGCTAAATTCAGGAACAGTAATAGTTAAACATGATTATTATCTCGACCCTGCTCATTTCAAATAATGATTTGTAATACCGGAAAATGTCATTTATGGACATAACTTACATGTACATGTGCTAGATGTGCAATTGGCGACTGGGCACTGTATCATATGATGCACATCAGATGAGGTGTCTCAGACAGCAGGGGGGGCAAGCTAAAAAGATGACAAACTCAAACTGTACATGTACTACTACCAGTATTCCCATAGACTAATAGAGAACATAACATTTGGGTATATGACAAATATTAGATAATCTGCAAGACTAAACAAGTGACAAATATCTGTATGAGGGCCTGCATCATCATCATCATCCCCTTTTACGTACTCAGGCCTTTTTAGTCTTCATAATCCGTAGCATTAGCCTCCCCAAAAATCAGTGTAATTCGTAATTAGCTGCAAAGTGTTAAGTCGTGGTGACTTAAAGTAATTCATAATCGGCGGCAAAAATTTTGCATAATTCATAATGACTCCTGGTATAGAATGTATTACTTTAGTACATTTATTTATTAGTGCACTATGCACCAAGTAACATATGTAGTGTCGGTGCACAGTAAACCAGTCAGAATTGCCCCGATGAGATCATCGGAAGATGACAGAAGGTCATCGAAACGTCGGCTCGTAAAAATAAATGGTTGTGATCAAAGAACTTTGCTTTCATTCGTTTACTAACCTGATGAAATTATTTACGGATGTAAGTACATTATATATTATAGTTCATTTAAATACTAGTATGTAAATTTTGGTCTTTATGTTGCACTGATCAATTTAAGCATTTACATTTCAATCTGATGTATACAGTTTGTGGTGCCTCCTGGTGCCTGTAGACTGTATTGCAATCACTTCTGTACAGTGAACTTATTATTACTATAATGAAAACTCATGATTCGCCATCTTTCTTTTTTCTGTACCTGTCGCCACCAGCTGCAGGAATGTATAATTCTGCAAACATATCCATTTTTCTCCAATCGCAAAATTTAGCCACAGATAACATTGTATCCCAGAATCCTCCCATTGGCCAAAGTACATTGTAACTGATGTCTCATTCTTCTAGACATATCACAACTACACTTGCAAATACATATCTGGTATCCCTGATGGACTAAGCAACCAAAGCCTGATGGGTATAGCGCAAAGGATGCTGGGATGTGAACATTATGCTGACTTGTGCTGTTTATATATCATTGTGTTATAATCAGCAAGGACTGTAAATCTTGAAATATTCGCAGTGGTTTATTTTCATTTGCATTTTTTTTGCAGTGACTGCATCATTGCAAATTCATGTCAATGTGAACTCGCATTTTCAATGTTCACTGTATTGCAGAATTGTTCAACTGAAAACTTAAGTAACTGTTAAAGCATTGTGAAAACATGAAGACCCTCCCCTTCTACCACAACATTAAATCCCAGCAAGAATATTAAATGGATTTTTACAGTAATTTAAGTGCTGGCATTTTTCTTGCCAAAGTCCACCTTGTGTTATATTGACTTTGCCATGTCAGCATCTCTGGCTCATTGTTGCTTCCAACAACACAGTACTAGTCTGCCTGTCTGGTTCACACGACATGTTAACGAGGTTATCAAAGGGTGGAGCAAAAAAATCCAATAGACTTATCGGTAGTCTTTTGATCTATTCATGTTTTGGATTGTGCGTCATGGTTGCTATGTACAATGTAAAAATATTTGAACACCTGAGTGTGATTTTGGCAAAAACAAGTCCAAAGCTCAAACATGTACAATGACATCATATGACTCCTGCTGTTGTTATGTACAGTGCAACAAGTTGATGCACATACCTGTGATCAGAGCAAAAGTTCATTGGGTATACAACTACACCAATTTCACGGAAATAAAGAATATTAAGCACAATGTTTCTCAGTTTACTTCAGGACCTCTGTCAAATATTTTGTTCTGTTCTTTCTTTTTACTCATGTTTGCCCGTCTTTCATCCAGGACATTTTAAAAATTTGGCAAGACTTGTTTCATCCTCAGCATTTTTTAAACCCTCCATCCCCATGTTTTCCAATCATGTAGCACTGTCATATGATATTTGTGCCATTCCCTAATCTATTGTGGACCAAGCCCTTTTATTGAAATTTAGATAATTGATGAGAAGTGTCAACAGCACACTATTCTCATGCAATTTTTTGTTGATTCTGCCCCCAACTGTAATCAGCATCTCTGTACCCAGCTGGAGTGCAAAAGTTCAGTGTTACAAAGTCCATGCAAGTCTCTTGTGTAGTATAATTCTTTTTTTTACAAGTTAGGCCACACCAATTTAATTTGTTGGTTCTCGGATTCGCCTCTTCGTTTTTTTCTGATTTGCAAAATTTGATTCTGGTCCTGAATCAACTGAAAAATGCTCATATTTTGCCCCCAACAGTTGAGGAAAGTCCTTTTCTTCCTAGTTGTTACAGTTTTCCCATGTATCATTGCAGTGGTTAGATTAAAAGTTCAAAATTCAATGTTTAAATTTTAACCCAGCCTTTTGTGTTGACTTCATGGCTCATTCCATAGCATTTAAGCCTATAATAGGATGCCTAGACCTGTTTTTATTTTTATTTTTTTTTTCGCCCTGTCGCTTCATATTTTTTCTGAAAAAATCCGAGAACCAACAAATTAAATTGGTGTGGCCTTAGTGATGTCATTGAGTGATTGTGTATTGCAGACGTTTAACAGTCATTTTGTGTTGTACTCATGTAATTATTTTCATTTTAATTCAATTCTAACTAGTCTACTGAAAAACCAGAGTTTATTATTTTGAGTGACTGTCACTCTTCTTCAGCACCACTGAAATTAACTAACATCAGTCAACGTAAATTATGAGGATCTGATAAAAACTGGTTGAGCACGATGAGACTTGTGTCATTAGTATTCTCAGGTGCATTTTTGTATGTGAGTCATTTTTCCTGTGTCATATTAGGGAGTAAAAAATGACAATCTGAAAAAATTGTTGAGCACAACGAATGTGTCATTCAGTATTTCAGGTATTCTTAGGTATGTGCATCATTTTTTTCTGTGGCGTATCAGGTAGTATAAAAAAGCCAACTTACCAAGATACTAAGTGCAAAAAACAGCCCAAAAACATGCCAAAAATAAGCCAAAGTCACATTCATAATGCTTGCATCAATTGGAAAATTTTTTGGTCATCATGGCCAGGCGTAGGTGGCCAACTTGAGGTCAATTTGGCAGGTTTGACTGTAGTTGATAATCAATTCACGAGTTGCACATTCCCAGGATCCTTTGCGCACAGGGTAGGGAAAGGTTGCGGTAAACCACGTGACTCATCCTCGGCTCGTAGTTTTTCACGGCGTTCGTACGGCGTTCGTACAGCAAAGCGCCATCGAATTTTTGCTCCATGACTATGGGATAGGGTTGATTCAACATACTAGTAGTACGTGAAAATGTGACCAAAAGACAGACTTTTGAAATTGAATGCTCCCAGCCTACTATCGGCCAGATATCGCTTAGGGCACCTTCTTCCGAACAGAGCCGAGGATGAGTCACGTGGTTTACCGCGACCTTTCCCTACCCTGTGCGCAAAGGATTCTGGGAATGTGCAACTCATGAATTTTACACAGTGACCTTAACATCACCATGATCCCCACACATGGGTATGCATGCAACTCGGTTACTGGATTATTTGATTCCTTCTTAATCTTTAACCAATGGAGGTAGAAAACTACCTCCATGCTTTAACTAAATTTTGAAAAATTTGGTTAATTTTGTATTATTAAAAATTCACTTTCAGAAAATGATACTGGCCTCTGCTCTTGAGACAGCCTTTGCTACATGTATGTAAATCTACAGTACGGCACAATGTGTCACTGGGAAGTACAAGGCAGAGGTCAGATGAGCTTAAGTTATAAACTTTATTAGATTGACAAGTACATATCATGAATACTTACATGTACATGTAGTAGTGCATACCACCACACACAGAATTTGATGTTCTAGGATATAGGGCTTATGTTATACATGTATGTGATATACATATTATATATAATGTAATCAGTGTTAAAAAATTATATAATTTAATGTTTTAGTGTAGATTGTTAAAATGCTTTATACTCAAGGGGGGGTACAGATGGTATTTTTTACATACATGTATATACAAATGTATATTCTAAGAATTTGAGTGTATTTCTTGTCACCTGGTCACTTGGCACATACATGTATTGTCATACAGTAACATTAAATTAAGTAGGGACATTGATGGACAGAGCAGAGGAAGGGGATTGAAACCTTCTTGAGCAGACCAAACTGCAGAAATACAGGTAGATTAATACCACATTCAGCTTCAATTGCCATATAGCTTACATGATGGTTTAAAAAACTTAGCCTTGTGTCAGTTGTCTTGTGTGCAATAATCTTTTTAAAGCTTTGAAAAGTTATGGATTAAAGATATCAGTCTTCAGAAGTCTAATGTTTTCATCAGCTAATTACTCTACAGGTAGCCATGCACTTTAAGCCACCAACAAAGCAAACTTGATACTATGAGCCCCAACACAGAAAACAGAATGACATACCGACGGAAGAATGGGTCAATCTGACACTTACATGATTGATGATATCCAGATTGCCTCACATCTTCATCTACCGGTAGTAAGGGTAAGTTTTCTGATGGACCACTATCACTGTGTGAATAAATGTCATCTGCATGCATTGCTATGTTTTGTACCAGATTTATAAGTTCAACCCGTTGCATTCTTCTTAGTGTCTCATCTCTGGTCATGTTGTCAAAGAAAACATATCGCTTTCCAAACTTTTGTAACATGTCTGTGAGCTCTTTAGGTGCATATGTCAGGTAGTCATCCTCATTGCATGTCAGTTTGTCCTTCCCAGTGAACAAAACAACTGAGTTGTTCCAAAGTATTTCCTTAAACATGTTGTAATATCTACCAGCCATTTTTACATCTTCCATGGAAAACCTACCTATATTTATGATCATAATCAGTATATAGAGGACACTTGGTTTGATTTGTTCCTTGATTTCTGTTGCAAGTCTGTTTTCTCCTTCCTTGGCATCCTGTGTCAAAGGTGGTGTGTCTACCACCATTATGTGACAACCTTTCTCATGCCTGCTACTGCTGTCACAATGCTTTGTTTCTGACATGATAGCTCTGTCTGAAACTGAGAACACATCCTGACCAATAATACTGTTGCCTGTATGGCTTTTACCAACTCCAGACCTTCCCAGAAGCACAAGACAAAGGTCTTCTCCTGATGGTATTTGGCAACGAGGAGAAAGATTTGAGGCTGTGTATCTTCCACTTCCATTGGACAATTCTTGAGTGAGGCTCAGAAAAAGCTGTACCTGCTCACCTGGTTCTTTGCCATTGAGCTTGTTGTCCATGGCAATAATCTTCTCATGAAACTTATAATGAGAGGTTTCTTGCAGTACTTTGCTTTGATCAAAATCTATTTGGTCATGATAGAATCCTGATGATGATGATTGAGCTTGTCCCTGGTTATGATCAACTACTGTGGTCTGTCTTGCTCCAGCCTCTTTAATCTTTTCCATGAGAGTTATCCTGTAGTGCCCATTTACCTTGTTAGCAATTTTCTTCATTTTGTCTGGTAATTTTTCAATGAACTCTGGGATGTCTTCCTGCTGAGCATGTGTGACCAGGATGACAAGATGCTCGTACAGTCCATCACCAAACAGCCTGTGGAGGGACTGGAACACTTGGACCTCCTTTTCTTCATTCCTCTCAGAGTTGTTGTAGTCCCAGACCAGACAGATGGCATCAAAACCCTCAGGAACCATCTTCACAGCTCGAACCAGCTCCTCAAACTCAGACTCTGTCATCTCCTGGGAGACTCCAGGGGTGTCGACTACTGTCACTCTTTTTTCAACACTGCCAATCTGATGTGTAGTGCTGGCACCATCTGATTTCAGTGTTCCTCCTTTCCTGGTGACTCTGAAGACCTCCTGTCCCAGGATGGTGTTGCCTGTGTGGCTCTTGCCATTGCCCTTACAGCCAACTAGTAACAGTTGTAGATCTTGCAACTGATCATGTGTTTTTTTGTTTGGAGCAACAGAGCCTCCTGTTACATTTAGGTTAGCAGAGGCATAAGTCTGAGTTTGTTTAGAGAGTTCCATATCAGCCATGGACATGTTTAAGTTTCCTCTTTTCCATGTATTGATGTTGCTGTCTTTTTTACTCCTTCCAAATGACATTGACATTACAATTTAAAGTCATTTTGGCAATGAACATTGCATCATCGTGAGAGGGACAGGTTGTCTTCTTAGATACAATGCAGACTGTGACATCTCTGTTGTGGTGAGTTTTCTAGCAATAGACAAGGGGAATAAAATAGAAGATTAGATACATTCAGTGTGTCACAGCATTTCCTTCAGGGAATCCACTGGAGAAATTTATTTATAGTTAATGTTGTTACACATCATCAAACAAGTTACTGGTTCTATTATTCTAATAAAAAAAACTCCATTTCATACTAAGCATTCCCTATAGAAGTGGTATGAATACATTCTTAGTGAACCAAAACATTTTTCTTGTTGACTTGATTTTAACTTTCAATCATTATGGTTGATTCACACCAGGGAAAAGTATAATTATGTTTTTGCTGATTCATAAATGTAGGACTTTTTGACAGAAGTTATGTAAATGATATCTTTCTCTAAAATTGGTAATTGTCGAAAGAGAAATGTTTAACGTGCCCTAGCCTAGGCAGCCTGCTTCTATTAGTATGTATATGACTTCCCATTGGTCCCAAATATAATTTGAAAAGGGAGAGCCAAGGTTCAAGTTGTGTACACCACTCTAGAGTACAAAATAGAACAGAATAAAACTCTTTAAGCCTGACATATTAAGACAGACACCTTGTTAGCAATAGAATCACCATACATGTTATGACACATTTAACAACTTCAAGAAAATTGTTACCGGTAATATTGTGATCGTGTACCCCCAAGATCTGCTTGGAGATTAGACCACAGGTAGCCAACAGGTGTACACAGTGTTATACATATTGTAGTTTGGTAGAGGATAGTGTAAAGGGACAAAAAATAAATATTAATATTCTATTGGCAATGTTACAATTACAGTACACAGACACACAGACGTACTAGCTACTAGTAGGCAGCTACACGGATTGCTAATTTTGCTGACCAGTTACATTCAGGAAAATATCAAAATGCTGCACTCTATGTGACAGTTGCCAGGCTCTTTGAAGCAATAAGAAGTTTCGAAGGAAATTTGTTATAATGTTACAGTCATGTACATTGTACTTACTGTTCAACAGCATGCACACTTTCTCACACAATGTAGTTTGTGGTGGAGAGGTCTCGGCCGTGTCCCATGTACATCAATCCTTTCTCTGCATGTATTTCTTCATTGTTTACCATCAAACAGAATACTGTTAAAAATTAACATCATTGGTAAGTACAGTCCATGTACTGTACATGTAGATCATAACTAATGCCAATGATAATGGTCACCTTTGTACTGCAAGACTTAAAAGTAAGTTTTGTTCACTAAATTTGAGCTCAGATTATTATTTTTTTATTGCAGTCCTTACACGGCGGTCTGTTACTACGGTATTCTTTCCCATTGCTGGGGGCGTTCGATAAAGTGTCGGGTTACAAGACGCAATTTTGGGCTAACCGTAAAACATTTGAAAATAAACAAACCTGTATCGGAGGGAAAATTTGGTTGAAATAAAATAAAATTATTGTCTTTACATAGTATATTACATTCAATGGTGATTTTTTGCGCTAAATGAATGATTTTTTCGGATTTCGTTAAAAAGCTGATAATTTTCGGGATTTCACAGCGCCATATTTTAGCCAATCACCGAGCAAACCTGGCTACACATATTACGCAAGATCACTGATTTTTCTATTTTTCGACGACTAGGAATAAGATGAAAAATCGTGCTTTAGGGATTTTTTAATTTTTGATTTTAAGTTTAGTTTTTGTCGACAAATAGGTGAAAAAATCGAATTTTTGGGCTTTTTTGGCACTCAATCACCCATAATTCAAAATCGAGCGCATTTTTCAAAAATCCCTAAAGCACGATTGTCGGGAAAGCCGTTACAGTCATTTTGAGCCGTAAATGGGACGTGTTTGACTCTCCGTGCTTCCAGGTTTGAACGAGTTTTGCAGACATGTCTTATCGCCCGAAAGTGTGCATTGTCTTATTCATACAGGCGTAAAGACTCATTACAGTTTTCAAGGTCACCCAAGGATACGACATTAGCTTCGGCACATGTTAAATATCGACAAAAAATGATAGCGGACATGTACTGTCCTGGAAACTGTTCGTATCTATAGAAAAGTGTTGTTTTTTATCTGTTGCATGGTACAGAGGCAGAAAGGCTTGTTTTGCCGCTTTATGGTAAATGACCGCAGGTGACCCCGAAATGGAACGCGGGTTCGATTCGAATTGCCCAGGTCGAACACGATCGAACACAATTCGGATTCTATGAAACGTGGGAACTTTGCAGCCCAGATTTTACCACCATGTTACTTAATAAATATTCAGTACACATGTATTACTAACAGATGCTTAAATCTCAGTATATCTGTATAAAAAATGCAAAGAATTATACTGGAAGGATTCAAAGTGATACACATGACTGGATGAGGATGTTGAATAGGAGCCAAAGGTAGTCAGTGACATGACTTGACAAGGATGTTGTGTATTGGGGGTAGTTGGTGGTGGCCTTGGTCATGGTTTAGGAAGGGGAGAGGGCTCTGATGTGTACTCTCCAAGTAGAGGTTTGGGGTTTTGGGGTAATTTTAGCGTGTTTTTAGGCTTTTTTATCGGGGTTTCTCTTTTGCACTGAATTTTTTTTCCCACCAAACCCTGTGAGTCTGTAGAGAGTCTGTAGATCTTATAATTGCCAAACTGTTACAGTACTGTTACAGGTTTTTCTGAAAATTTTAAAAAGAAGTTGTGTGCAACACAATAATAATTATGCCTTTAGGAAGTGGCTCATTATAAGTAAACCTTTTTTGTCTTGCAAAATAAGAAATAAGGAGTACGAGCCAGGACAATACAGTTTATTCATTTTTAATGAAAGACAATCATATTAAACTAATACAGTAACTGTCTGTGGATTCGTGATTTTTGGATACATGACTTGCGTATTGATATCTGCACTGAATTAATTCTGCTACTCCCCCTATCCATGTGCGGCAGGGTCTCTCTTAAGGGGTGGTGGGCATTTTCAACAGAATTATTGTCAAAACGACTGTACTTTTTTTGCAAATGGCATTGTTTTGTTGCATAATCATTGATCAATCAATTTGTCTCCATACAATGTCATGTAGGTAGAAGAGGTGGTAGTCGGTAGTTTGCTTTTTGTATCTCTCTATATTATATTATCTAAATAATGTCTATGAATAATGTACTAAGAATTGCTTACTACTCTCTACATGTGGGAAGACAGATGCCATTTAATTTAATAATTATATGATTTCAGTTGGAAAAACTGATTTCTGCCAACGGACAACTGAAGCACATTGTTTTTCCAACTGAAATCATATAATGGCATCTGTCTTCCCATTGCTGATCCTCATTTAATGGCATTGTCACAGACAGCTGGTTAATATTTTTGTTAGCCCTCGGCATGTTACCTGTACCTGTCCAGTTATAGTTAAAAATGCTTAAAGTTCATTCAACATTTCATGGCGCACTTTTAGATATTATCTGTTGTTGCTTGAAAAAGAGTGCTTAATTTTTTCGATAATTTTCATGAACATGTCATGTATCCATTCATATAGTGGTGTGTTCTGGTAGTCTTGATTTATAGCTCTCTCTCTTGCCCTCTCTTTTAGTGTCTCAGAAACTTCACTCCAAGGGATTGCATTGCCATTGTTACCCGTAATGTCTTTGATGATTATAAGCATTTCTTTACCCCCTTCTTTGAACAGCTTATCAATGTATACCCCTTGTTCTTTCATAATATCATCCACTAACCTGATCAGTTTAACCAGCTGCATTCTTAGTATGGTCTCATCTTTTGTGACATTGTTGAAGAAGACACACCTATTGCCACATTGTTTAAGGGCATCTTGTAGCTTTGGAGAACTTTCAAGAAATTGTGTTTCACTACTGACTTGAAGTTCATCCTTTCCAGTGATAAGAAGTAATGAATGATTAAGGAAATTATCTCCGAACATATGTTGAAAAATTTCTAGTGCCTGAACTTCCTCCTCTGTGAATCTTCCTTTTCTAAGGACAAGAACAACTGCATAAATACCCCCTGGGAAGAATGTTACCATACGGCAGAGTTCTTCACAGATGCCCTCTACATTTCCTGTGTAAAATACTCCTGGAGTATCCAGGACAGTAATTCGTCTGTTGTCTGATGTGTTGTTGACATTTACATGTTTTTGATGCAGCTAATTCTGAAACTACAAACTTTCCCTTTGATCCAGTAATACTGTTCCCTGTGTGACTTTTCCCCACTCCAGTTTTCCCTACCAGTACAATACCAAGTTCCTCGCCTTTTGGGATTTGGCAGAGGGGAGAAAGATCTGAGGTGGCATACCTTCTACTATAAGAAACTTTAGAGCTACAATCAATAAGTTTTCTTAATGTTTCTTGGTTGATTGTTTTATTTTCATTGTCAACTGCCATGACCCTGTTGTGGCATTGTTTAGTAATTTCTTTCATGGCTTCAGGCAGCTCGTCAAGAAACACTGGGATATCCTCCTGCTGAGCATGTGTGACCAGGATGACAAGATGCTCGTACAGTCCATCACCAAACAGCCTGTGGAGGGACTGGAACACTTGGACCTCCTTTTCTTCATTCCTCTCAGAGTTGTTGTAGTCCCAGACCAGACAGATGGCATCAAAACCCTCAGGAACCATCTTCACAGCTCGAACCAGCTCCTCAAACTCAGACTCTGTCATCTCCTGGGAGACTCCAGGGGTGTCCACTACTGTCACCTTCCTACTGACTCCATCAACCTCATGGCTGCTGCTGCACAGGCTGGACCTTTCTGTTCCTTCTTTCCTGGTGACTCTGAAGGCCTCCTGTCCCAGGATGGTGTTGCCTGTGTGGCTCTTGCCATTACCCTTACAGCCAACTAGTAGACTACGGAGTACTTTTAGGCATTGGTTGTGTTTCAGTTCATCAATTGTGACTAGTCCTTCTGTTTCAGTCAGGTTGTCCACAGACTGTATTGTAGACCCATGATCTGAACTTTGATCAACAGATACTCCTACATCATCCTGAAATGATGGCAACATCTGTATGTAAGCTTGTGGGAAAGTCAACGTGTCTGACTCTGAGTTGGTGTATTGCATTTTTTTTCTTGGTTTGACACTACTGCTGTCTTTTTTCTTTCTTCAACCGGACTTTGAAATTACTAAGTGATGTCAAGCAATTGCACCACCCTGACAGATTTGTGCTCAAAAGACATATGAATAGCAAATTTTTAATATAACGTGATGCCTTCTTGGGGATGTACTAGTATCACTAAAGTGCCAACCAAAATGGTTTCCTGTTATAAGGAAGAAGAATAGAATCGTACTGTAGTAACACTAACAGTGCTGGAAATCAAGTTCAACTTGTTGAAACATGTTTTACTTTCAGTCCATTTTTTCACCTTCAGTATATCAAGGAATTTGTATAATTTAGTACTGCTTCTACCTAGATTTATTGAATAGCTAAGAATTTTTACAGTACTTAGTGTCATCATTTTGTGTCAAATTGTAGTATTAAATTTTACAACACCACTGATTTAACGTTAACAGTTATTTAGAAATAACAACTTACAGAAAGTTGAAAAGTGGACTATTCAAAATGTGTCTTATAGGGCTCTTCGTATGTACATGTGATAGAAAGCAAATTTAGTGGAGGTTAATTAATACACTGTACATGATGGTACATGTATATGTAATGACTTCTAAGGCAATCATGCAATGTCCTTGTCATTAAGTATTAAATTAAACTCAAGGACATTGCATGATTGCCTTAGAAGTAATTGTATTTAAGACAATTTAGGCCAGAAGGTCCTTCATGCTGATGTGTTATACATTTAGAAGGCCTGTGTATATATATATAATTATATACTGTATTATGAATAATACTAAACAATTTTACTTGCTGGTTGAATTTGATTTTGAATTCTTGGATTATCCCCCTCATTTCTGTTAATTTGAAGAAAAAAAATCACGATATACATGTATACCAGTCCTTTAAGTTGATATGAAATTACTTTGCTGTGTTACACAAAAGGAGAGGTTATACCGGCCATTGAGATAACACAATGTCATACAGATAATACGTACCGTTATGTATAAAAAGAAAAACAAACTCTTTGCCTCTCTTTGGCAAATTAGAGTATTTGGCAAAGACGGACAAGGTGGTTACTAAATTGCTGTTGACCTTGATTTGGCAAAAAAAAAGGTCAATATGTGTTGGAAGAAGAAACTTTAAGATAGTGTTTCATATATAGGTACGCTTGCCAGTGGGCCTGTTGAATTGAAGCTAAATGATAATCTTTGATAATATCAACCGTAATTAATCGTTGTAAATAAAGGTTGTTTATTTAGATTTTGAGTCGATCCCTTAGCGTTATAGCATAGTTAGCATTGCTAATCGTTTCACACACTGCAATATATATTACCAGGCTGCGTGCCTGGCCAGGCCGGGAAAGCATTCCCAGCCTGATCCAGCGTGTGGCGGACGTTGACCCGCCCACCCACTACCTTTGTAAACCGCACATACATTTTGTACAATGTAGTTATAGTATTATTTCTTATTATCTCCCATGGAGAAATTGTTTTGTATCATTGTTATTACCTTCGTTGTATAATAAAAAAATGCTATTCAGGCTTGATTCGCATGTCTAGGTTAAATATATTGCAAACTCATGTCTGAAAGCTAACTAGAAGCTGTGGACAATCACACAAAATGCACAAAACTTTCGGTACAGTTAGAATGAAAAAACAGCATTTTTACCTTCGCCAAGAAGGTTATGTTTTCAGGGGCGTTCGTGTATGTGTGTGTGTGTGTGTGTGTGTGTGTGTGTGTGTGTCTGTCAACACGATAACTTAAGAAGGCCTTGATGGATTGGTCTTGATACTTGGGTAGGTGGGTAAGTCTTGATGAGACCTCAAAATGATTAGATTTTGGACCCCCTAGCGGCTTGTTATGGTACTGCAGCTGAACTTCCGGTTTTGATATCTCATGATCTAGACATGCTATGGTGATGAAATTTAGATGGTAGGTAGCTCTTGTGCTGGGGAAGAAGTGACGTGAGTTTAGGCCCCCTAGCGGCTTGCACTGGAACTGCAGGGATAAATTCTTGAAAATATTCAAAAGGGGATAACTCAAGAACCGGTTGACGGATCGTCGTGATTTTTGGTATGTAGGTAGCTTACGTGATGCTTAATATAATTTTGTGACAATTATGCAAATATTGATGTAATTTGCATAATTTATGGAGAAATTCTATAAATCAGCTGCATTCAATAATGGGACAATTAAAGCTTGTGACATTGGTAATTGACAACGAAACACAGGAAGATATTGATTATGTTAATAATGACTTAATTTGCATAATTAATGAGAAAATTTTATGATTATGTAATGATAACTGCCTGGAATTTCATAATTGTGGTATTTGAAAGTTAAATTGAGGTGAACATCATTAAACATAATTTATTCAAATCAGGACCTCATTTGCATAATTTATTAGGAAATGATAGAATGCATTGTTTGTTAATATAAGACTGTTTTTTGGTTGAGATTATTATAAAATGATATAATTCATGAAAATTAGGTTCCTATTTCTTAAATCAGGGGGAATAATCTAATCTATAATTTGTCAGTCATAAAGATTAACATCATTTGGCGAAGGTATGAGATCGGGGAACTCTAGTTAAATCTGTTAGTCACAACTTCTATCAAGGCACTGGAGAATGAAGAGACTCGCATTTTAAGTAATGAAGTAGTTAGTTGTCAAATGATATTAGTGCATTGAATCCAGTTATTTTTTATCAATTATTGACATCAATTATAGACATGTGTAGGCCCTGTTTTACCTTGTCAAGTAAATAAGATCATAACTTGCATTTACATATAAATTATAATATACAATGTAATCGTGAACACACTACTTTGTGTGATGAGTCCATTCCAAGTCACCAAGACAGTTTTGAATAATACGTCTTCATGTTATGACAGTTCCTATTGTCAATATGGACCTTTTCCCACTAGCACAGAATTGTTCAGATCCAGCCGAATAGATTTGCTTTGATCCCGCTTTGAACAGGATCTATTCGTCTTGATCCGGAATTGAAATTGTGAATTAGGAATTGAACTCTATAGGTCTGGAAATGTCATAATTGTAAAATCAATTATGGTCAAAGCAGCTGAAGGGAACTGGAACATGTGCATTCTGTCTTCACCAAGTTTTTTTACTTAACATATCAGTCCCTCCCTGAATTCTCTTAAAATACTAAGTACAAGAGAAAAGAATGGTTGCACTTACCATGTCATAGGTTCACATTAACAAAAAATCTGTTCTAGTTGCCTTGCAACATGTACTCTCACCTCTCGAATAAAAGTACCCCCTGGAATAGAAGTACCCCCCGGACAAATCTTCAAAATCTAATAAAAGTACCCCCTGGAATAAAAGTACCCCCCGGAAAATTTAAAAATTGACATGTAAGCAACGTCTATGCTCCAAAAATGTGTTCTCATGGTGTATATATATATGTGTGCGTCTGTATGACCTTGTCACTTGCAATTATTGACAGGTCCTGAATAAACATACCCCCTTGAATATGATTCCCCCAACAAATCTTCAAAACTTTATAAATATCAGGGATCTCCCCAGAAATTCAGAACAGGGTGGAGGAGGGTGGTCTGGAAACCCCCCCCTCCATGGGGGGAAGCTATTGCATTTTGTCTTTTCCAAACACAAATGGAGGTCATTTCCTGCAACTTCAGTTCTACATGTTCTGTACAATTGCAGATGTATAAGGCAGGAGAAAGGTTCAAGATTTAAAAAAAAAGTTACTATTAGCACCCTTAATTTTGAAAAAATTGGGCATAGGTTCCCCGGATGACCCCTAACCGGGGGCCAACGGTGCTTCCACAAGTTCAACAAGTGAAAAATACATGATACAAAATGTACATGTATTTACTACCTGGAACTTGGAGCAAGTTATTCCAAAAGATGTACTTACTGACATTAATATATTAAAAACTAAACCAAATCCTATTTCCCAAACAAATCACATATTGACACAGCTGAACAAATAAAAATGTGATCATGTCTATAAACTCCACTCAAAAACAATTTTTGAGAGACACTCGGGTACTAAGCGTGATAATCTCTAATATCTCATCTGATTCTCCCAATGTAAAGGATCTTTACAATCACAGCATCCAACCGCACATACATAGAAACAACAATATTACACAAGAAACCAATAAATTCGGAAAATTTCTCAGTAATGTTTGAAAATTATTCTTATTAAAATATAAGTGAATTTTTATTTCAGTTGTAGCCGAAAAATATTTTTCATGCGTTTAAAGTATCGTTTTAGCACTGTAATATGTACTTAGTACATGTCTTATACATTTGGATGCTATCTTGACCTTTGACCACTGTTATTGTAAAAAGCAGGTCGGCCATTTTGTCTTTCTCGCCGTGGCTTTTCGAGCCGTTTTTTCGAGCAAATTTCAACCATTTTAAACATTTTACGGCCTCAAAAACTCATACAACGAGGAAAACAATTTGTAGCTGTCATTTTCATGCGTAACATTTCTTCTGGGGATGGTTTATTTTTCCGCCGAGCTGCCGAAAACTAGCGTCAAACCGCAACCATGCGGTTTCTTCGCGGCGGCCGGCGGGAGTTTTTGTATCGGAGCTTTCACGATGTAAACAAAGAATGAAAGATAGTCGGAGTTGTTTATCTGTCGGTATAAAAAATTTTGTTGTGAAACGCCAGCGGGGTGTCAGATTTTCTACTAATGACAACGTTTTCTTTGTGGCGTCATGGCGAGATCGACAATTCATCGACAATTCACAGGAATTTGTGCCGACAATGGAATGAATTTTCCCGGAACTTTTCCGATTTTGAAAAAAGAAATAAACGTACCGTCTAAAATAAGAATGTACCGGGTGAATTTTGAGGCGAAAAAAAATAAACGTACCGGTACGTTTAATAGAGAGCCGAGAGTAGTTGTCTGCTTGATGCCTGATCGTAATGAAGCTAAGTTTTGAGTGTGCCCCCCGGTCCCTTCTTAATGTGTATTCTGTCTCTGAGTCAATTTGTTTGCCATCAAACATGATGTAGTGTCTTGGTTAAACTTTAACTTTACTAGCCAGTTGTAGCTAGTAGTAGATACTATTAGAGACTTTTTGATATTCATACATGTTCAGAAGCATATTTGTACATCTGGCCTGCTGAAGCTGGCCACTAAAATTATAGATGGGTCCTGGAGACAGCCCTAACACTGTTACAGGTTCTGAATCTGATCTACTTTTCAACCTTTACTTACACCCAGTCTGTTTAAAAACTACAAATAGTTGTTTGATTACTTCTGAATGTAGAAAAGAAAAGAAAAAAATCCCTACCTACCGACTCCTACCTTTGCCAGTGGTTTGCATATTACATGAACTGTCAATTCTACAGCTAAAAACATTGTGTTTGGCAATTACTTAGTAACAGGGCTTTAGCCAGCGCCCGTTTTACCGTCAATTGACGGTAGTTTTTCCCGTGTGACGGTAAAAATTCAAGTCCTTACCGTCAACATTGACGGTCAAAAATCGTGGGTAAAGACATAGAAAAAATCTAGCGAATTTGAATGAGCCACGGAGCGGCGTCTGTTCCAAGCGCGCGGCGTCTTTTCCAAACGCACGGCGGCGGGAAACCTGATTTCAAGGACCGTGCCGACGTCTGTTGACTTGGTTCTATTGTTCAATGTTGCTGTCTGTTAAAACAACATGTGCTAACGGCCACATAAGAATAAAATAAAACAATGGCTCGACTCAGACACACGCTGCTAACTGTACATGACAATACGATAAATAAACATGTGACAACGAACAAAGGAATATCAAACGTTTTGAAAATGTACTGTACTTGAATAATCATACTATCGCAAGAAAACGGAGATCGATCCACACAAAGTGGCCTTATTTAATCTGAAACTTCGTCAGACCTCCTTCGCGCGAAAACTTGAGCGGCAGCATAAAGATTTCTGGAGGACCGCTGACACGCGAGTTTTTGCCGGCCACGTAACTCCCTCCGCGGCAAAATCCCCTATGCCTTAGCGAAATCGCGTCTCAGTGCTTCCCCAAGTCAACTTCATGGCCGCTAAAGTCCACAAAGGAGCTGTAACTTCCTCATTTCGGTTGAGAAGCGAAGCTGACAAGTAAAATCATCTACATGTCGGCCATTTTGTTTGCTACCCGAAGTCTTCCGAACGCTCTAAATAAGGAAATCGTCGGAGATCTGAGCCACATCGCTCGCTGTCGGTCAGCGCTCGGGGCCGGCTCGGTGGAAATCGGAGGCTGTGACGTCATGAGTAGGTTCAGTTGCATGGCGAAGCTGGCTGGGGAAGCCGCCGCGGCTTGAATCGCGGCGGGATTTGAGCGGGTCAAAACAAAGGGAATAGCGGATTGTTCATTGCGTGTTGTCTCCTTGTGAGAACTGTAGATTTTTTTTTTCATTCTGCAAAATTGCAGATTGTGTAGTTTTTTTATTCTGCAATCTTGACGGGTATGTCGATCACCGGATTGAAAGACATTCTTTAAAAGTAATCATTGACGGAATTTTTTTTCGCGTTGACGGTATTTTTTTTTCGCGAATTGGGTTGACCTGGGGTTGACGGTAAAAAATTTCGAGCTGGCTAAAGCCCTGCTTAGTAATATGTTACTGACCCAAAAGAAAAAAAAATATATCAGGCAAATTGAATATGCAATTTATTCTTTCTACAAATTTTGCATTTCCTAAAAGTATTATTTGAAAGTGGCTGTAGTGGTCAGATCTCCGTATATATTATGTAACGGTTACCTCCTTTGGTCAGATAGATTTGCTTGTAAACAGTGATCATGAAGTTAATTCTGTTGATGTTCACTGACTGAGAGTTTACTGAGAGTTCAAGTGTATTCTTTTTTGTAATTAAATGAGGGTTTTACCACTGTGACAGCTCACAATTCAAAACCTTAATCAGGGCTGAGAATACTTTTTTTCATGTACATGCAAAATTGCACGTTGGCAAAAAGTTTAGGTGCAGTTTGAAACATTTATGTGCAAAATTATATTTTGTCGGTCTGCAACTGTTTTTATCAGCTGTTTTGAAAGCGGTAATTTCTTTTCCAGGTGGCTCAATGGAAGAATCCTTCAAAAATTATTTAAACCCACAATAAATCAAACTGACCTTAAGGTATTATGGTTTTGAACTAAATACTTAGTAGATGTTGGCATATATGTATCATTTCTTGTTTAATGATACTGCATTAGTTTTGGCATCTGCAAAGAATGTCATCCATAAAATTTACTTGCTGTGGCCTTACTAAGGTTTTGCTCTCATGTGTATTATGTTTTTCTGCGCATCTGTGTATTCCCTAAAATGTATTTGCAATAAACAGCATCCGGATTAAATTCGGACAGTCCAGTTTGATCCCGGAGTACTTCCCATATCTCAGCAACCTTGCATGTAGATGGCCTATTTATGTCATTAACCACAGTTCCAGAATTCTGCGGAATTCTGCAGAATTCTGGAACTGGAGCCAGAATTCTGCAAAATTCTGGAACTGAAGCCAGAAATTTGTGGAATTCTGGCCCCATTTCCAGAATTCTGCAGAATTGGGTTAACCCCTAAGGGGTCCTCGATGGCTGCCACATATTTCTTATTGTTTTTACCTGGCAAGTTAACGACATTAGCCCATCTAGATGTAATATTGCTGAGATATGGGAAGTAGTCCGGAATTAATCTGGACGCTGTTAATAATTATTTCAACTTTTCTTTAGCCAAGAAGACATGTAAAATAAATGCAGTATATAATATATAAGGTTAACTTTATTCATACAAACTTAACAGGGACCCTCACTTGGTATTCTTAACATAGCAACATACAATACATGACGTATAATATTATGTAAGGCTAGCTGAAACAAAGTTATCTGACAGTATTCTCTTAATACAATGTATCTAGTACTGTACAACACAATCATGGATTTGACTGATTGGTTTTACTGGTCATCATCATCCAATAATCCAGGTCAGTCACTTAGCATTCTGGGAGATGGAGACAAAAAATGCTATATAAAGTTGTTATTGAAAATGCGATTGAAATCTGTAATGATTTAAAGACACTCAGGTGGTTTTCTCTCTTAATTATGAGTAAAAAAAATACATATTGTATGTCCTTGTCAACTACATGTACAACCTGAGGGCTCAAAATGCATTTTGGGAGTGCACCCAACCTAAAAAATTGGGTGCAAAAAATAGAATGTCAGCAAAAACTAATAACATGTATGCTTCATTTCTAAAAAAAGTGGTAACAACAATTTTATTATTTTTCTGACACTTGGCTGCTTTAGGTGTTAACAATATGCTGTATACTACTTACTGTAAACCTACAAAAAATACTAAGGTGCACTGGCGTACCCACAGAAAACAATTGGGTGCGCAGCCCCAAATTTGTGTGCACTTAAGTAAGGTGCACAGGCACCCAGCTGTTGTATTTCGAGCCTTTACAACTGTTAACTGTTAGTACACATCCTACTTTGAAGCTGTTACCAGAGGGTCCAACTCCAAGATTTGATTCTGTCCCAGACTGATTGGAGCTTTGCTTGAATTCTTTGGAACAGACCTGTGTTATTGTAGTTTCTACTCGTAACTGTATCTCTTGCCTTCATTTTCATTGCCTTAGTAACATCTTTCCAACTACATTCTGTAGCCTTGTCAGTGGTAAGTTCTTGTATGACTTTATTCATTTCTTTCTTTCCTTCTTCAAACAATTCATCAGTGTATACTCCCTCTTTGTTCACAATATCATCAACTAACCTGATCAGTTCAACAAGTTGCATTCTTAGTATGGTCTCATCATTGGAGACATTGTTGAAGAAGACACAGTTGTTGTGACATTTTTCAATTATATTTTTAAGGTCTTCAGGAGCAGTTCCAAGATATTCCTTTTCGCTGCTTGTAAGTTCATCCTTTGCAGTAATAAGAAGTATAGAATGTTCATGAAAGCTTTCCCCAAACATAAGTTGAAATATTCTAAGCACTTCAGCCTCCTCCCGGGTGAACCTTCCTCTTCTGAGGACAAGAACAACTGCATGAAGACCATCTGGGAAGAATGTTACAATACGGCAGAGTTCTTCACAGATGTCCATTACATTACCAGTGTCAAACACTCCTGGAGTATCCAGGACAGTAATTTGCCTGTCCTTTTCCCTAATGTGTTGCTCACATTTTTGGGTTTCTGACTTAGCTTTATCAGATATTCCAAAATGCTTTGTACCAGTAATACTGTTCCCTGTGTGACTTTTCCCCACACCAGTTTTCCCTACCAGTACAATACCAAGTTCCTCGCCTTTTGGGATTTGGCAGAGGGGAGAAAGATCTGAGGTGGTGTACTTTCCACCCCTAATGGACATTTTGAAGTGTTCAATAAGTGCTCTTAATGCTTCATGGTTGGCCATTTTATTTCTATTTTCAAATGCAATTGCTCTGTCATGGCATTTTTTTGCAATTTCTCTCATAGCAGTTGGCAGGTGTTCAATGAACTCTGGGATGTTTTCCTGCTGAGCATGTGTGACCAGGATGACAAGATGCTTGTACAGTCCATCACCAAACAGCCTGTGGAGGGACTGGAACACTTGGACCTCTTTTTCTTCATTCCTCTCAGAGCTGTCATAGTCCCAGACCAGACAGATGGCATCAAAACCCTCAGGAACCATCTTCACAGCTCGAACCAGCTCCTCAAACTCAGACTCTGTCATCTCCTGGGAGACTCCAGGGGTGTCGACTACTGTCACCTTCCTACTGACTCCATCAACCTCATGTCTGCTGCTGTACAGACTGGACTTTTCTGTTCCTCCTTTCCTGGTGACTCTGAAGGCCTCCTGGCCCAGGATGGTGTTGCCTGTGTGGCTCTTGCCATTACCCTTACAGCCAACTAGTAGCACATTAATTAATATGAGCTTTTCAGAGAAACTTGTTTTTAAGCTTGTTGGTTTGTTAGAGAAAGCTGTTGAAGAGGTAGAGGAGTTCATTTTTGGTCTGTAAGAGGAGCATGTTAGACTGGCACAGGAACTACACGTAGTTGTTGGTGTGGCAGAGGAATTTGTTGTTGTTGTTTTTTGGTAGAGGAACTATTTTTTTGCCAGAGGATCGTTTGTGATTAGATTTCTTTGGGAGAAGACTTTATTTTATAATTTGTGTTTCGGTGGAGGAATGGTGTGCTGAATTGCTGTTATTCTTTTGTTTGGGATATTTGTAACAGAGAGGAAGTCTGTTGTCCCTTGCTTAATTTCTCCACAGGTTTTTTTCTGACTTCACCCTTAGAACAGGGTGATAAATTAAACCTGCACATGTGAAATGTTCAAAGGTTTTCTATCCAAGTGGCTTTTTGTCTCAGATGTCTGTCTTCTGCATTATGCCGGTACATTGAGATGCCTTCAAAGTAGCCGCTGCAAACTGCTTCCAGAGTAAAATTTTCCATTGGTCAATCTGCAAGAAACAGGTGCAAAGGATAAGAACTGGAAAGTCTGCAAGCAATCAAATGCCTGACTATATTATATTATATAGGACTAAGTCTTGTAATTTTATAGTTAATTTTGAGATCATTCTATTTCAGTTGTTTATTTTCTTGTATATGTCAGACTCCGTACTTTAATATGTTACCAGCTTAGTCTGCCTGCCGACAAAATTATTGATTTGTTTCATTGCCAATAAATACAACACCCTCACCACTAATATACAAGCAGTTGTATAAGTGCATCATTATCATCATCTTTTCTTTAATTGTGTAAAGAGATCAAGCCACTTTTCTAAGAATTTAGAATTGTATGACCTGTACAGTGATCGATTTCATTGCTTTCAATATCTTAGCAAAGATTATCGAAATCTACAAGTCATGTACAGTACCTTCAAGTTTTTAGAATGAGACGCAGAACTAGAAGAATTTTAATTAACAGTTGTATTAATTTTCCAATTACCATCTGGAAAAAATGTGGTCGGCAGGTAGGGATTTCGACAACCTACATGTACATGTATGATCATAATTTGTACTTATTTACACCCTTACCCAATGCTAATACTCCATGCACTAAATTGCCATTATTGTTACCACTGACCGTGACTGTACTTTTGCATGATGTTAAACTGTCTCTTTTTTACAAATAAGGTGCAATAAATTCTTATGGAGTGCAATGGAGTATAGAATTTCCATCATGTAAATCAGGCCCTAATTTGTATCATCAAGTAAACAATGTCCATTTCTATTTGATATACGTACTTACTGGCCCCGGGCCGGGGGTACATTCCAACATCATGACAACAACAAGCCTCAAGGTCAATGCATGGAATTGTCCTTTTTGAGCATCATCTGATTATCATCTGAAAAGCAATGGATTACAGTACATGTAAGTGGCAAGAATACTAAAAAGGTAAGGCCACACCAATTTAATTTGTTGCTTCTCAGATTTTTTCAGAAAAAATATGAAGCGCAGGGCGAAATTTAAAAAAGAAACAGGCCAAGGCGCCCCGTGATAGCCAGAAATGGTACAATATGAGCTATGAAGTCAACATACCAAGCTGGTTTATAATTAAAACAATATACTTTGAACTTTAAATGAAGCAAAGTTGCATTGTTACATGTACATTGAAAAACTAGGGAGAAGAGGACTTTCTTCAACCGTTCGAGCCAAAATATGTCTTTCATTGTGCATTTTGCCCCCCCCCCCAACTTTTTTTTTTTTTTTTGTCAAATCAGAAGAAAATGGATAGGGCGAATCTGACAAAACAACATATTAAATTGGTGTGGCCTAACCACCAATAATTTACTCGAGTTCTTACTGTAACTGTGTTTACTATGGACTTTTTCTAGTCGTCCTGCTCAAAAACAGTGGGTTCAAAGTCTGTTGAAACGTTACGGTAACCATACACTGTAGAATATTGTCCATTCAGGCATTGCAGAAAATTTGACATAGAATGTAACTTCAAATCTAAATGCAATGTAACTTATACTAAATGTGCAAAATATATTAAAAATGCATTGTATTACCTGCAGTTATGGTGTGGCTTTGTCAAGTTCCAGTACACTTAACTCCCTTTCAGCACTTGAAATGGTTGCACAGCAAAGAGCATGCCTCTTTAGGTCCAGTCACTCCTCACCTCACCTCACCGGTCCCATAGCAGTCTGTCCTGCCGTCGGGGCAACTAAACCACTCCCAGTCCCAAATATCTTTTGACTCACCTGATGACTGACCAAACAAATAGTTGATTTTTAACTCAACATTTTTCCCTAGTCACCTTTTTTTTTCTTGCCAGGTAAACATACATGTAATGATTAGCTAGTGGTAAAATGGCCAAGAATTCAGAGATCTCATACCTCCATGAAGTATGACGGTACAAAATGTAGACTTGGAAGTTTTACCTTTGCTGACAAGTTTTCCATAGCATTTGTGTGTATGTAATGTGTATGTGGTTTAGCACGATAACTCAAGATTAGCTATGGATGGATTGTCATGAAACCTAGTAGGTTACTAGGTCTTGATGAGACCTAGAAATGTTTAGATTTTGGGCCAATCTATTTATGGCTTCAGTGGTGGGGTGAAACATATTGTCCGACAGTTCTCTACTGTGCTTCTTCTCCTTCCTCTCCTCCTCCTCCTGGATTCAATTTCTTCATTTTTGGGCCACTGAATAATTGATATGATATGATATGAATCTTTATTGCATGTTCTTGCCCAGATGGGCTAAATGCACAAGAGGGTATGCAGTATGCAAAAACATGAGCATTTCATACTGAAACGCTATATTCTAATGCAAAGTGATAAGGATCTAAATATTACAACAATACTATAAACTACCTATCATCTACTGTTAGTTGCCCTTTCTTCTCTCTTTTTGAAACATTTGGAAACATAACACATAGTTTGTCTAGTGTACATTCGTTCTTGTATGACATCATGTGTTTGAACATGTCCTGCTTTGACATTTTCTTACATATCTTGTCTAATTGTAAAGTATCGAATAGCTCTTGGCGTTCATTTTTATATAATGTACAGTCAAGTAGAAAGTGTATCTCGTTTTCAATATATGAATGATTACAAAATTCGCACGTTCTATCTTTCAGAGGGGTACGGCTATGCCTGCCGGATTCTATACGTAAGGGATGGTCACTAATGCGAAGTTTACACATGGCTCTGCGATGTTCGAAGTTTGCAATGTTTAAATGTGTTTCTCTTTCATAAATTTCTTTGAGTGTTTTGTATGTCCTTAATTTGTTGCCTTGGTTTTCTCTTCTCCCTTTTACTTGTAGTTCTGAGTTGAATTTTTGTATAAAGTTGTCTTTCAGTCTTTGTTTTAGTTCATTTAGATGATTCGGCGAGTTTAAGTGACCATTAATGAACAGGTAGGCAAAGCCGGATTCCTCTAACAGTTTCTTTACATTAGATAACCAGCAGTTATGTAGAGTGGCCAAATACATGTACCCCCAGGCTTTAAACATTGTTTTATTTGTTTTTTTTGCCATTTTTTGACAAAATCTGTACATTTGGGGACCTGGAGACCTGGTATTACACCCAAATCATCTGAAATTTGATATGGGTATATACTTTATATATCTCCCAACAACAGTTCATTATAATTATCATACCCGGTATCACTTCATACCATATTTAATATATTGACGAAAAACATTCTTTTTCCTTGGGTTTCTCCTTCTTACCCCTGCCACTTCGTTGAACAGATTCAATAGGGCCCACAAGCCTTTTTCCGTAGAGCATTATTGGCCATTGTAATTCTACGTAGAGCGTTGACGGACCGCTCTAATTCAATGTAGAGCGTAACTGGCGCATTTTGCGTAGAGCGTATTCGCCGTTTTAATTCTACGTAATGCGTTGTAGCCACTAGAAATTTATCATAAAGCGTAATCAAGAGGTTTCCGAATTCAGCGCAGAGCGTTGTCGGGACCCCCCCTTGCAGGCCCCATTCAACTCTGGGGACCAAAATGACCTGATGACATTTGCAATCTCTAAGCAGATGCATGGTGGCATGGGTAGGTAATCTTCGAGCACAGTGGCTTGGCCTTCAAGCATATACAGGGTGGCATGGATCCTGTCACTCTACATGTTCCAACAGCAAAAGGCATTGGAAGAATTAATTGCTGCATGTGGATATAGGCTGTTGGAACACTTCAGATTTTGAACAGGGGTGATTTACGAACAGTCCATGTGTGTGGGAGGGTGATAAGTCCATTTTTGGTATGGGGGATGTGGTGAAGCCATGCTGCATTAATTTTCTCCTGAGCAAATGCCAGCCTTTCTAGTTTAATTTATAATTTTCTAAACTCAAATTACATATTCTGTGTGTAAAATTCCTATCCTTTGCCAATGTTTCATCTCAATATTGCAGCAGTTAATTATGTTTAATGTTTAATAACAATTATTTTAATGTGTTTGGGACTTGCCCTCCAAGGCACATTGAAAACTGCCCTTTGGGGCAATATGTTGTGTCCCTCATATAAAAAAAAAAGAAAACCAGGTCCTCATCAATTATGCAAATTACCTCAGTCTACATTAACATAATATATGCATAGTGATGTCAACCTTTATGTAGGGTATATCAGAAGGTATAAGATTCCCATCATTCACCATCATCAATTTGTTATGGTTTTGGGCTGGAGTTTAACCCTATCTATACTGGGCTCATTTGCCATTATCACCTCATTCATGTGATTTATTGCCTAAAACCAGTTTTCTCTTAAAACTTTTAAAATGGTATACAACACAAAACCATTAAAAGAGGGCCTGCATGCCCTTTTTCCATAACCGTTATGGGCTATCTTAATTTACCGTTAATCGTTGTTGACCCGCTCTAATTCAACGTTAAGCGTTATCGGTATATTCCTCGTGAAGTGTTATTGGTCGTTTTAATTCAACGTAAAACGTTATTTGTCATCCTAAATTCAGCGTTAAGCGTTAATGACTAATTCTTCGTTACGCCTAATTTTGCCTTTCAAAGTGCAGGAAAATGCTAAAACTACAATGAAAATAGACTAGAGAGGTTCAAATTAATATTTTCTGTCAAAAAAATCGAATCGAAGTTGAGATGAAATTTTGGGAAAATAGCCAGAATTTACCTGATATAATGATACGGTCCGCCATCTTGGATTTTGGCCAATGACTTCATCAAAGTAGCATAAATTAACATAAAAGCCTGAAAATTTCATGGTTTAAGTCAAAATTACTGATTTTTGCAAAAAATGCCTGTCAGAAACCCATTGCCATGGCAACACGAAAAATTGTTAATTTATCTCACTGCTAAGAATTTGTTGGCAACAATATTTTAGGAAAAGTCACCCAAGTTTGGTGGCCCTAGCCTATAGTACTATCCGTTCGGACATCTTACATCAAAGTTGGCGCGGGCACTTTTAGCCTATCCCCCCCCCCCCCCCATCTAGATAGGGTTGAATCTGACCAGAGTCCAAGTAAGTATGCAGCAAATCGTCAGAAACATGACTTTGTTTCGTATGTTTTGACCACGATATCACTGATATTGTAATATCTGTGTACACATCTTTGTATTTTCTGTTAGTTGTAGCCTTAAGTTTATATATATATATACATGTATAGCTGGCGTAATGTTGGTGGTCTAGCAAAGACTTCCTGGTATTAGTCCGTGCGGATGGTTATGTGGCCTTTTCGCCTGAATGCCGGGATGCCGGATGGTACATTGTACGTTCTACATGCGTTGTGGGTGTGTTTGGGTCATCCAAGATACCGGTAAACGTACTGCATCGATTTCAATTAAATTTAAATTTCGGAAACATTTAGATACTGAACTTCTTTGAGTACTAAGCCCATTACCCTGGGAAAATTAGTTTTTTCCATGCAGCCATATGGTTAAAAATGATGAAAAAAATGACCCCTTACTTTAAAATGTACTTTAATAGGCCTTATTTCACCAGAAACTTGCCTGCAGTTCTGGAATAATAATGTGCTAGGGGGACAAAACTCACTTATTCCTGACAGGAAAAGCTATCTGTCACCAAAAAGTCAAGACCATAGCATGTTCTGGGTGAAAGATACAAAAACTGGAAATTCTGCTGCTGTACCAAGGTCAGGCACCAGGAGGCCCATATTTGCTTGGCCTTTGTCTGACTATGATATGTACCAACATATCATCACAATCCTTGTTAAAGTACGATGACTACAAATGTGCGGACACAGACACACACACACACACACAGACAAGCCAAAAATAATATCTAAATTTTCATGCAGGTACATGTAATAATCTCATCTGTGATTTTCTGTAGCTACATGTACATCATTCAGAAGCCACACCAGTGGCAGTTTTGCATCGAAAAATTTTGAACAGTTGTTTCTGACTGACTCATACACTATCCATTTGATTATTCTGTTGCTGGTTTTAGTATCATCATCATTTGTCAATTTGAATGTTGTACACATTCTAACTGGAGCTCAGCTACACGATACATACTTGAGTCAATCTGGAAGATCAGTCAGGGTCCAAAGTACTAATTTCAGGTTGCCAAAACCTGTATACTTTTTATTAGCCAAATAGAATTATGTTGCAGGGAAGTTCAGTATTTCAGTTACAATGCTCCATTTATATTTTATTATATTTAATTTCATACCTTGTGTCATGTGTAAGTGATTTAAAGGTTAACACCACTATGCATATATTATGTTAATGTAGAGGTCATTTGCATAATTAATGAGGACATGTTGAAATGAACTATGACAAATGAGAGGAATTTTACACAAAAAATATTGTCATTTGAATTTAGAAAACCATTAAATTAAACTAGATTATGCTAAGGCCATACCAATTTAATTTCTTGGTTAACGGATTTTCCTAGAAAAATAATGGAGTGGGCGGGCGAAAAAAAAAAATAAAAGCAGGCCTAGGCATCCTATTATGGCCCAAAATGGTACGATAGGAACCATGAAGTCAAAACACCAGGCTGGTTCAAAATTTAAACAATGAATTTTGAACTTTTAATGATACCACTGCATTGAAAGATGGAATAACTGTACCAACTAGGATGAAAAGGACTGTTTTCAACTGTTCAGGGCAAAATATGAGTATTTTGCAGTTGATTTTGAATTTTTATTTTTATTGGCAATTCAGAAAAAAATGAAGAGGGCGAATCCGTTAACCAAGAAATTAAATTGGTGTGGCCTAATTATGACCTTATTTCCATAGTCAATGAGACAAATAAAAACATTTGAATACATAAACTCATATATTTCATGGAGGTACATGTATGACATCTCTGAATTCTTGTTATACTTTGTTATATAATGTTTAGTTGATAAGTTCAGTAGTAGTTAATAACAATGAATTCAAAATAATGAAACTACAAATCTGAAAAAAATCACACATGAATTATTTATTTAAAAATGTCAGGTGCAAAATGTAAGAATAATGTATATTTTACTGTTTGTTAACTTGCTTATTTTTAAGGCAATGTCTGTCAGAAAATAGCACTCCCTGTGAACTTGAGAACTTCAACCCCTTTAATAGTTCCTTGCTGGACAAAAGTGGCAAAGACAGGTGACTCCATGCCCAAGAAGAACATAAAAGTCCAAGGATGTTCAAGTTGGAAAATGCCAATACAATACAACTTTCTCTGTTTTAATATTGTACCCCTGGTCTGCTTGTTACAGTCCCTGATTCTGCAAATTTTTATCCCAGACAGAGTTGGAAAATGTTTAGGCCACACCAATTTTATTTGTTGGTTCTCAGATATTTTTTTAAAAAAATATGAAGCGACAGGGTGAAAAAAACAAAAACAGGTTCAGGTTTTGCGGTCTAAATCTGCATGGTCAGACTGCTCCCAAACACCAGTTGAAGGGAAGGTCAGCGGCTTTAACCATCCCAGGAGTAAAACAGTCAGTGGAAGTTCAATCAAAAATGTACAAATGGTTTTGATTCAGTAAACATTGGCAGGGATAAAAAAGGAATGAACTGCATCACAGCTTCAGAATAGAGGACAAAACTAAAATCAGTGCCTTATCTTTTCTCCTCTCTTCATAATTATCTGCCATCCACCTTCCGGCATGGCAACAGACATCTTTGCCCATCTGTGGCATGGTGACGACATTAAGAAGGCAACAAAATTTCTTGTTTTTTTCCCAAATCAGGCAAATAAATGCATGCATGGTGTCATCCATGAAAATTACTTGCATTGACCTATTACCACATAACACATCAAAATATTTTCCAAGTTTTTAGGTTTAATAAAAATTTTCCTTTTTATTTGTATCCTTTTACCCTGAAATATGAGAGTGCTAAAGAATCATGCAACAATGTATCTCAGAGGCTCCCCTCAGACAATTTGCTCATGACTATGTCTGGGGTGGCAGCAGAGAATTTCCAGTACTACTCTCCATTGGTTTGGTTGCTCCTCTAGATCCTCATCTGTTTCTGTATTATCTGTATTGGGAGTAGCTGAGTCGGTGTCACATTTTATCAGCTCTGCATTGAGAACCCCTGAATTATTGTCATGATTTGTTTTCTTTAGAACAAGGTTGATTAGTTTTACCAGCTGCTTCCGTCTTACAGTCTCATCCTTAGTGATATTATCAAAGAACACATACCTGTCATTACACTTCTTTAAAATCTCCTTAAGATTTGGTGGTGCATCTTTAATATAATCTTCCTCAGACTCAGTCAACTGGTCTTTGCCCGTGATAACCATGATTGCAAGGTCAGAGAATCTGTCCCCAACTATGCATTTGAGAATGCTTGCCATTTTTTCATCATCAGTCCCATAGTCTTCCCTTTTGGATACCAAAAGGATTGCATCAAAATCTTCAGATTTGTCTTGAAACCACCTTTCAATTGTTTTTTCAGACTCCTTGCAAGATAAATCTATCCCCGGTGTGTCAACAATGGTTATTGTCAAGCTTCCAACTTTTCCTTTAAAATATTGACATTCGAATGTTTTGGACACAGTTGTGTCTGAAACTGTGAAAGTCTGAGTGCCAGTTAAACTGTTTCCTGTTTGACTCTTCCCAACCCCTCTTTTCCCCACAAGCAACAAGTGAAGTTCTTCATCTTTTCCACCAAGTTGTGACATTTTACATACTAATGAGAGGTTGTCAGGACTAAACCTAGATGTATTCTCAAGAATACCCAGCAATTTTTCAACCTGATTGTTCCTTCCCAATGAGTCACTATCAGGCTTATTTTCAATTGCAACCATGCAATTAGCCTTGTCGGCAGGAACAATTTTCTTCATGGCTTCAGGCAGTCCATCAAGGAACTCTGGGATGTCCTCCTGCTGAGCATGTGTGACCAGGATGACAAGATGCTCGTACAGTCCATCACCAAGCAGCCTATGGAGGGACTGGAACACTTGGACCTCCTTTTCTTCGCTCTTCTCAGAGTTGTTGTAGTCCCAGACCAGACAGATGGCATCAAAACCCTCAGGAACCATCTTCACAGCTCGAACCAGCTCCTCAAACTCAGACTCTGTCATCGCCTGGGAGACTCCAGGGGTGTCGACTACTGTCACCTTCCTACTGACTCCATCAACCTCATGGCTGCTGCTGCACAGGCTGGACTTTTCTGTTCCTCCTTTCCTGGTGACTCTGAAGGCCTCCTGGCCCAGGATGGTGTTGCCTGTGTGGCTCTTGCCATTACCCTTACAGCCTACAAGTAGTAGATTGATGTCCCTACTAATAGATACATGTAACTTATCACGTGAAAGTTGGACACTGACTATGTCATCTAGCTTAGCTGAGCTAGATGCTGGCTGACATGTGACGTCTTTAGTCTGTGTTTTGTTCATGTTCATAGGTGGTCATTGGTCATTGTGGTTGGTGCAGGGCTGGCAGCTGTAATGCATCTTGCAAAAAGGGCAGACATTTCCTTGAATCTGGAAAAATACATACATGTATTAAGGAAATGGTTAAAGGAGCAATACAATGTAGAATGCATCATGCAGAGTTTTGTAAATTCCCCTTTCAGGCAACACTAATTTGATTTGTTGGTGTGGCCTAAAAAGTAATAAAAACAGACCTAGTAGGCAAAAATAAATAAAAACAGATCTAGGTACATGTAACTCCCACAAAATCAGCATACCAGGCTGGTTTGTAATTCAAACCATACATTTTTAACTTATTAGCAAACCAATGCAATTGATAGATGGAAAAACTGTTACAACTAGGAAGACAAGGAGGCTTTCTTCAACTGTTTTGAGCCAAAATATGAGCAATGTAGTTGACTTAGAACCTTAGCAATATTTTTTTTTTTTTTGCAATTAAGAAACAAATGGAGCGGGCAAATCCAAGAACGAATTAATCAAATTGGCATGGTCTTATAGGAAGCAGAAAATTTGACTGTCACAGTCACTGTTTTTGATGGTTACATTCACAGTCTGGTGCATTGGTCAAGACAATTTGTGCAGAAACAACATTCCAAAAGGGTGTAGGGCTTTAATTAAAAGTACTGTAATGCATTACATTATAATAAATTGCTTTGCATTGCATTTCAGGCACTGTGGTTTTGACCATATATGAACTCAAGATGTAACGTGTCACTGAACAACTTTTCCCCTCTTTTTGCAAGGTTACGTCCCTGTGAACTTAAATAATTTATTTCTCAGCATATCCTAAACAAATTCAAATATTTGAGGTTGGGCTCTGAACCTTGGGTTATGCCCTACAATTGGAGTCAACATTATGCTTAGTAATAAGAGAACTTTTGTTACATTTTTAAATAAATAAGGTTATCAATTTGAAAGTTGAATGTGGATTAAATGCAAAACATGACTTTCTTCAAATATACTTCCTCCATGGTCACCTGGTCCCATCAGTTTAGTTCAGCCCCTTAATAAGAAATAGCGTTTTGAATGTGCCTTGAACAAGCTTTTGAAAATATTGTAAGATAGACATTGTACTTACTTTGATATCCTTAAGTTTGTATTATCAAGCTCCAATAAGAGCTGATCTACATGTAGACAAGCCGGGTCTTCAACAGAAGAGAGTGACTGAGTTCTCGTAAGCATCCAGCAAACAGTTTGTCCCAGTGTGTGTCATTGGAGCTACAAACCAGTTGAAGCAGGCTAAAAGTAAACAACTGTTTAATATTTGATAGCATTTAGCTATTTGACCCTTGAACTCGGAACAGTGTATTATGCAAAATGCAGGGGGTGATCATTAAAACTTTGGAGCCTCGCATTCTTTTTTTCCTGGTCTTTTAGGTACAATGCCTGACTTACATTTGTATGTGTCATTTGATTTTTCTGAACAAACTGTCTCACTCCTACATGTTATCTTATCATACTATTCCAGCCAGTCTGTAATACATGTACTAACAAGAGGTCAGTGACTTCATACCTTCATCATGTATGAGTTTGGGTTGTCAGCAGCTGTATATAATTTGACTTTTATTTTGCTGTTACATGTTGTATGTAAACCAAAGGATGTGTGTGATACATAAGTCGGAGTACAGAAACACACATTACATAGTAGAAATTTTCTGACATAGTCACAATGCTAAGTGTCATTGTTGTCACTACTGAGTGCTGTGGAGTTTTCATGTTGGTGGTTTAATTGACTTGCATGCTACTGGAAAGAGTGGCAGTCCATAGGACGGGACATTTTGCCATGGTGTACCGTTTATGCTCCCATTGGGAAAATATAACTTCCGAGACAGAAGTAAACAACCTTATACGTACATGTAAACATCTGCCCCCCCCCCCCGAACATCTTGTATTCAACAACCCCCCCAGTCAAAGGGCCAATGCTCTAGAACACGGCGGCTTATTTTGTGATAGCGTGCTTTTGACGCGGAGCGCTTCACTGTAAAATCGATTCCTTTACGTTTACATGCGTGGTATAAAAATGGCTCGGTGTTTCCTTTCAGATTTTGGAATGCTAAAAGAACACACTTTTAACAAGTCCAACCGTGTTCAAAATGTTTGTTAGAGATGAATAAAAGTAGTAACGTTACTAGTTGTTTCTTGAAATTTGCTAATTTTACGGCCATGTTTGTACGGTTGTTTTCAGAGCAGATAGAATTGATGATCCCACTTGAAACTGTGTGTTCTGGTTCCCTAAAATTTAAGCTTTAATTTGATAATTATGTAGTTTGATAGTGTTTTTAATGGGAGTGCAGAACCAAAATAGACAAGATTAACACCATTCAAACCGCAGCACCCTGTGTGTTCCATGGTGGAACACGGAGCAGAAACCATGGGAGTTATGTATGTCATTGTCACTGTCATAAGCACCAACAATTCAGTAACCCTCATAAAATTGATATCCTGATTCCCCACAAACCTAACGGGGGGTGCCCTAATTCCGACCCATCCCTAATACCGAACTAGTTTGAAAAATCCTTGTTGCGGCGTTATGCATGGGAGCACGCGCCTAAAAATAATCACAAGAATGGACTATGTTTTTGTGTTGATATCGGCAATCTCACAAAGTTTGTTTTAGTTCCTACACTCCGACAACAGACGAGTGAAAAATATGTGTGAATTTGACGCTTGTTCGGGGGTTGACGAGCGTGTCAAAAATGCAGGTTTTGCTTTTCAAACAGCCACTTTGGAGCAAGTCGCGTAATCGTAAAAAAGAGGACTTGTTTGGGACAGAAAACATTTGTAGATTGTTTTAGTCATAATTTGTGTATTATTATTTCTAAACTCTCTTCTCATATCGACCTGTGTTAAACACTAGGTCGGAATTAGGGCACCCCTGTTGCGATAGAACGTTCCACCGGCAAAATGACAAAAAAACTGCCGTGCGTTTCGTGAACCATTACGATTGGGTGCAAGCCACTACACTCAAGTGAAATACACAGCTGTGCAGTTTTAATCGTTGTGATCTTTATCTGTCAATATTATATCTCATGTTGCGCGGGTTTTTGGTCAGATAATCTATTACCAAAGGTCTGTGCGTTTGCATGGAACATAGCACGGAATTAGGGCACCCCCCGTTAATACCTTTCCCGCGATATGCAGTTTATGGCGGTTTAAATTGTAGACGTTGCACAACAGTAGAAGACGGGGAATGTTCACTCTGTTATATGACGACGCCGTACCCAGCGTGTTCTACCTCCGTGCACCGTCACTCTCCATGAAATCGTGGTCAAAATTGTAGCGGCGTTGTAAGCACGTACATGTAGACTTCATGAATCATTATTAAAATTCAAGCTAATTTCTAGAAACCATATTGCAGCTATCATAATGGTTTCTAGAAATGAATTTCTGTTCATCAACTGAGGAAAAATACAGAAATGCAAAAGTTTTTAAAGTTTAAAAAAAAAAAACAGAGAATGCAAATAGTCTGCCGCGACTGGCTGTTGCTGACTTTTCCAAGGTGGGACATTGAAATTTCAAATGTAACAGGATAACCATCACTTACTTACTAGTCTAGTTTTGTCAACTACAAAATTAAGGTACCGTAGTATTTTGGTGTCATGAGCACTTTAAAGTGGAATGCAGTAAGCTGTATTCTAATCAAGTTGAGTATTGAATTATAGTTCTGACCCACAATCTGGAAACTACAGGAAGACACATGCATATGCCATTTTAACATTCTGCACTCTGGAACATGAAGTAAACATTCAATAGAGACATAATATTATCATTCATCAGACTTTAATGTTCTCTCATGAAGATATCCCACATGTGGGAGCAGAGTAGAATTCAAAGTACTTCTTTCCATTTTGTCATAATAAATTGGATTCAAGTTGACACTTCTTCATGTTTTGTACATCACTCTGAGATCCGTGGCCAGTTCAGTGTCTTTTGTTTCCAAATTTCTGAGGGTTACATATGCTAAGCCGTCCACAGATATCTATATATGATGTCCCAGATTTTCTTGTACATAGGTGCTTTTGAGTGGTCCATTTTTGCTGCTCTTCGCTTGGCTTCTAGCTGTTGTTCTATCAGAGACCAAGTAGGCTTTTGCCTTTTTATTCCTTCAAGGATTTCCTCCATGTATCTTTTCCCATCTTGGAAGAGTTTATCAGTGTATGGACCCCCATTTTCTTTCACTCTTTCATCAATCATGTCGATAAGCTTGACCAGCTGCTGTCTTTTAAGTGTCTCATCCCTTGTTGTATTGTCAAAGAAGACAGATCTGTTCCCACACTGTTCCAAGATTGTTGTCAAACTCTCTGGAGCTGATAGGAACTCACTTTCGCTTATTCCTCTTAGATTGTCCTTTCCTGTAACCACGATAATGGCATAGTTTACGAAGGTGCTGCCAAACAAGTTTTGAAAAATGTTGATTGCTTTGGTTTCAGACTCTGTGAATCTGACTCTGCTACTTATAACAACCACAAGTGCATGGAGACCCTCTTTACCAAATAGAGTCACAATTTTACACAACTCTTGAGTCATCTTCTCCAAGTTATGGTCTTCAGTGGAAAACACCCCTGGTGTATCTAAAACAGCTATCTTTCTGTCTTTTTTCTCTCTATAGCCAATCTCACATACTGTTGTTTTAGATGATGCTATGTCTGCTACTTCAAAATCATGATCACATCCAGTAATGGTATTTCCTGTATGGCTTTTCCCTACCCCAGTTTTACCAACAATGGCAATGTTCAGTCCTGGCCCTTGAATGATTTGACACTTTCGGGACAGATCGGATTCCTTGTACTTGCTTGACATATTTTCAACAACACTCAGCAGTTTGTTCACTTGTTCCTTATTTACAGAGAATGAGTCACTATCAGGCTTGTTTTCAATTGCAACTATGTAATCGGCCTTATTTGCAGGTAGCAAGTTCTTCATGGCTTCAGGCAGGCCTTCTATGAACTCTGTAATCTCCTCCTGCTGAGCATGTGTGACCAGGAGGACAAGATGCTCGTACAGTCCATCACCAAACAGCCTGTGGAGGGACTGAAACACTTGGACCTCCTTGTCTTCATTCTTCTCAGAGTTGTCATAGTCCCAGACCAGACAGATGGCATCAAAACCCTCAGGAACCATCTTCACAGCTCGAACCAGCTCCTCAAACTCAGACTCTGTCATCTCCTGGGAGACTCCAGGGGTGTCGACTACTGTCACCTTCCTACTGACTCCATCAACCTCATGGCTGCTGCTGCACAGGCTGGAGGTTTCTGTTCCTCCTTTCCTGGTGACTCTGAAGACCTCCTGTCCCAGGATAGTGTTGCCTGTGTGGCTTTTGCCATTACCCTTACAGCCAACTAATAGGCATGACAGAAGGGAAATTTTATCACCATCATTGATGGTGGGGTTACAAGAGCTTATGAGAGGCTCAGATGCAGATGCCAGATCAGATTCTGTGGTTTTTGGCTCCACTGTGGGGTCACAATTTTTCTTGGAATTGTTAGCATCACTTGTAACCAGGCCATCTGCAGATGGCCCTTCAACATAATTGTCACTGGCAATTGATAATTCATGATCATTTTCTTCAGTGGCCATTGATACTAGTAGTTGATCTGACTTCTAGTCTTAGACATTGCGCTTGATGTTTTCCTGAAACATTTGCTCCATTTGATGGTGTTTTGAAGTAGAGTAGCAAACCTCATTGTTGTTACAGCCATTTGTCAGTTTCTTGAAAGATGGGATTTCTTTCAGAATCTAGAAATTGAGAAGAAAAGGCAAAAATTGGTTTCAAACTCAAAGTCTTTTAGAAATGACAAATTCCTTATTGTCAGGACATTAAAAGGCTTCAAAAACTAGAAGGCAGACATTTGCTCAAGAGCAAATACAGCATATTTCACTCCACCTCTTCCCTCATTCCAAAATGAACTGTTCTATTAATATCAACCTTTTCCATGTTCTCTCAATACCCCCATGTAGTCCCCAATTCCCCATACACTGCCTTTTATATTGATTTGAGTTATTAAAATTGCAACAGTGCAATACATGCAGAGCAGAGGTAGCTGTTGCTGGTGTTGTGTCCTGCACATTGAAACAAATACTGGGCACTGACAATACTCATTTTCACAATGAATCTAGTGGGGAAAGTAGTGTAAACTAATTTATAATAGCCTTTCCCAAGGCACGATGGTCAAATTTGGGCCCAAATATTCCAACCTTTTTATCGAACAGAATCATGTTCGATATGACGTCATTCGAATCGAATCATGTTCGATATGACGTCAATCGAACCGAACGTTCGTTCGATCCGGGTTCACCCGCGGTCATGTACAGTAAACCCGCGGTTTCAAGCCCGTTTTTACACGGGTACCGCCTAACAGTAAAAAAACTATCCTTTTTACAAATATAAACCGATTTCGGGACAGTATATCTATGCCCAGTTTTATGGTGGATATGCAACATGTAACGAAGCTACTGCCGTCATCGTGTGTGACCTTGACGATCGTAATTGTTGTTTACGGGGATATAAGTTACCCCAAGCACTTACTCACACGGCCTAGCATGCGTGCAAACATGGTATTTAAACCGCAACAAAAACAAATTCAATTTACCTCAGAAACATTTTAAATTGTAGGTAAGACACAAATCTCGATCTGTGTCGGACGGATTTTTTAAAGATGGCGGCGTTCTGGAATTATCCGTCTTGGAAGTTGAAAAAGTGCTTTTTTGGGCGAATTTTTCGACCTTAGCAACACTTTAACTTTGAAATAAAGAAAACTGTCCGACTCAAATCTTAATTTTGTTATACTGTTCTCTAACATGCAAAAATATGGGATTTTCTGGGAGATTTGGGGTCGGTTTAAATCAGTTGTTTGGATATTGACATCGATTGATCTAGAATAAGCATTCGACGTGTTGAGAGTGATTTCACACACATTAAAGCATTGTAATAAAAACAACAGCATTTGAGGTATATGCAATGCTGATTTTATCACATTTGGACAACAGAGTCCCTGTGAAACTGCTTATTATTGCTTAACAAAATGTTCACCGTTGAGACTGGCTCCACAGAAGCCGCGCGTGGAACCCCGGTAACCTGATACCCTTCCATAGAATTGGAAACTTTACCCTAGAAATTGACCGCCGTGGGCACAAGATCGGTGGCATGTCAGGACTTGGACCCGGGACCTCTTGATTTTAGTCAAAACCATTCTCAACAACCTTATATTATGAATGTGCTTTTTGGCAAAAAATATTCTAAGACTTGACAATGCTTTTCAGTAAAAAGTACAATTTGTATATCGAAAATATTGACTTGAAACCACATGCTTTTCAGTCAAAATTTCATGTAACGTTATATTGCAATTTAGCCGTCATGTGCTTTTCATGATCACTATATCTAGTGTTTTCAAACCCCTCACCATGTAGTGCTCAAAACCCCAATGTGCTTTTCAGCAAAACTTCTTGAAATAATTCTCATACAGTGCTTTCAAGGATCATCCCATCAATGAAACAAATTTCTGCACTAAGTCTTCATGCCAGCGGTCTGTGGTCTGTTGCAATGGTATTCTTTCCCATGCATTGCTAGGCACATTTGAAAAAAGTGTACACAAATTATACAATTTTTAAAAGTGGTATTGATATTATTGATATTTGCCCACTCTACGAGTCTACTACATATATGTGTACCTTCATACCAAATTTCAGGTCATTTGGCCCCAAGTCTTTTTTGGGGCCAAGAAAAAGTTGAATCCATTTAAAGGAATGGCAGGAGAAGAAAAAGAAGCACATACAAAGCATAATATTTCATACATCCATACCACTTATGTTATCGAGTCTGTGAAATCTAATACAGATTATCTCCAAATTGTTTAGTACTCTTCTCACTGACTGATAGAAATTGTCTGAAATATCCCTAACTTGCTTTAAATTATAATCATGATCAATATTTGATAGTAATAGCTCAACTTAAATTTAAAGACAGATTTGCTTCAATTTGTTGGTCTATATTTTATTGTTTATGGCAAGTTACATGGGAGGGACTTCTGTTAGTGGAACACCTTTATATGTATTTATATTATACAGTGATTGAAGTTTAATGGCCTTGTGCACTAAATTTGTACCAAGGATTTTCTTACATGCCATATGTACGATGTATGTAATCAACACCAAACACTCATAGAATTTCCCAACAAAAGTTGTAAGGATGTACATGTAGCTCAATCATACCTTTACCAAATAATAAAGCTGTATAACTTATGTGTAGGTTTGTTCACTTGGGTCGGTGGCAAAAGAAGACTATAATAAGCATAATACAGGAAGTCAGCGGATACAGGGAAACCAGCTGGAGATAGGTCCGTGGTATAACTCGCCTGTGCTTGGTAAAGGCCCAGGCCGAAAAATTACCGCCAATTGCAAGCCGACCAAAGGTTTGGTACCCAGGGTAGTGGCCTTCATTAGTACAAGGCTCTGACAAGTCTGACCTGTCCAGACAAGGGACGACAGACTTTTGTTCTTGTTGACATACTGCTGTAGAATACATACCAGTCCTCCATTTACATACATGTACCTCTGACATGACTGATTCTGCAGACAGTTTTTTTCCCTTAAATTAAGCATTTTTTTTATTTGGTGGTATTTAATGGTTAGTGCCTGTACTAGTACTACCTGAGTAGATGTTATTAACTAATCAGTGTTACTCTTTTAGCAAATGTAATGAATGTAAATTGGTGTGCCTGATCTCCTCTGAACCTAACCGGCAACCCCATATTGATTTTCTCATAAACCAAAAGACTAGACAGTGTCTTATTTAGCCATATATAATATCTAAGTGTTGAAATAGTAAATTCATAGTTTTATATTCCCTAGTATTAACTTTAGATGTAAGAATTAAAAACTAAGATATTGAGATTTTACACAAGTGGTAAAGTCTCTCACCTGCTTAAGTTTCAATGCGTATCGATGGTCTGGAAAAGGAAGTCAACCTCAGTCAGTAATTAATATAAATAACTGGGACAAGGGAAGATACAACATCAATCCACAGGACAGAGGCAAGCAGCAGGCTGTCATCAAAATTGAAGGCTGGGTATTACAGTGCAAGCACGTCTAACCCTCAGAAGACGGGGAACAACAGACGATAAACTGGACAGTGAGTGAGTTCAGTGAGAAGCTCTGAGGAAGATGTCTGATAGGCATCAAAATCTAAACTTGATTAAAGTTATATGTCAGTCATACTTTTCTTTCATCCGAGCTGTGTCTTTGCGAGGAGGTTAAAAATCAAATAATATTGACAGAAGTGGTCTTCGGAGTTTGTAGAAATAGTTGACAACTTACCACAACATTGCCTGGAAATGTGCATTTCAGATGCAGCAGTCAGGTCTGAGCATATGGTTGTTAAAATAAGGCCGTCAATTTGCAACACAGCAAGTTGGTCTCATGACTCTACACTCAGTGAGTCATGCTGAGTCAGACAATCAAGGCAGCAAAAGTCCAAACAGTCTTTAGTTAATCATTAAATAGGGGGTCTTATCATATATCGTACACATGTACACTTAGATTGTTACCTCCATGAAAAATGGAGGTATTATTTTTGGCCTGTCTGTGTGTGTGTGTGTGTGTGTGTGTGTGTGTGTGTGTTTGTGTTTCAGCACATTTGTAGCCAACATAACTTTTTAACCTTTGGATGGATTGTAATGATATTTGGTATGTGGTATTGGGTAGGCAAAGGTCAAAGTCGATTTTGGGCCCCCTGGTGGCTGGCCTTGATACTGCATAAGAACTTCAGGTTTTTTAATCTTTTGTCCTGGACATGCCATGGTCTTGATTTTTGAGTGGCAGCTTTTCCTGTCAGTAATAAGTGGTGTGGGTTTGGTCCCCCAAGCAGCTTGTTCTGGAACTGCAGGGGGGGTTTCTGGCAAAATCTTTCAGAGCTAGCAGATAAATTCACAAACTTATGTATTTTTATGAGTTCACCACACCACGAAGTGGTGTGGTGAAACCATATTGCTTTTTCTGATGTTTCTTCTTCTTCTTCTCCTGCCATTTTTTAAATGGATTCAGCTTCTTCATTTTAGGGCCCAAGGTCCTGAAATTTGGTATGGAGGTACAGTGGGCAAATACCCCTAGGCGTTTTTTAAATTATTGTGATACAGGCTTTTAGATTGGTTTTATTTGAGTTTTTTGGCTGTGTTATAGCAAATGTATTACTGTGTTAGTGTGCCTTGTTTACCACGTTTGGGCATGAGTCATCACAATGGAATGCAGGGCATCAACCAATAGGCATGCAGCTTTCCTCTATTCTTCTTGCTGATTGGCTGTTGGGATTTAACTTGATTAACACCTGCACAGAGCATTTCCACCTGCACAGAGCATTTCTTGCTGATTGGCTGTTGGGATTTAACTTGATTAACACCTGCACAGAGCATTTCCATACTGACAGTATGTCTGTATTCAAGTGTTTTGGTAGGTATTTCAAGCTTTCCTGCTCCAGCATTGGAATGCGGGGCATGGACGTTTTTTTTTTATTTTGAAAATCAACAGTTTGCATTATGCAATTAAAAATCCTAACCAATAAAGTAGGGAATAGCTATCCAACTGTTGTTTTAGTTGTATTTTACTTCATATTATAGTTATATCAATGTAAATCATTGTTTTCCCTTGTGTTTCTCATTCTTTCCCTGCCATGTCGTAAAATGTGGTGAACCCATCGCTGTATTTGCTCCAAAGCAAATATTGGCCTTTCTAGTTATGATTTTTGGTATGTGGGTAGCAAAGACAGAGATCTACATTATTGGTTGCAAATTATGCAAATGATGATTTCATTTGCATAATTAATGAGGAAATTCTATAATCCTAAGTAAGTGTTTTACATGACATCATGTGACTTTGATACATGTAATGTTTATAATCTATGGCAGGTGAAATATCACCAGATACCAGTTATGCAAATACAGACCTAATTTGCATAATTAATCTGAAAATTCTATGACTCCTTAGAGGTAAATGATGGGAATTTCATACTTGGGAAATGTGTAAATTAATCAAAAGTTAACATCACGATGTATAAATTATGTAATTCAGAGGTCATTTCCATAATTAAGAAATTTACATGCCAAGCCCATATTTCATGAAGGTATGAGATCTCGGAACTCTTGTTTGATTTGTGGTCAGATAATCTTTGCAGTATGATGAAAAAGGAAAGCTAAATGTAAAACATTACATATACTAGGTAAGAAAGCAATATAGGTCAACTGCTAAGGCCACACCAATTTAATTTCTTGGTTAACAGATTTTTCTAGGAAAATAATGGAGCGGGCGGGCGAAAAAAAAATAAAAATAAAAACAGGCCTAGACATCCTATTATGGCCCAAAATGGTACGATAGGAGCCATGAAGTCAACACACCAGGCAGGTTCAAAATTTAAGCAATGAATTTTGAACTTTTAATGATACCACTGCATTGAAAGATGGAATGACTGTAACAAGTAGTTAGAAAAGGACTGTTTTCAACTGTTCGGGGCAAAATATGAGCATTTTGCAGTTGATTCTGAATTTTTATTTTTATTTGCAAATCAGAAAAAAATGAAGCGGCGAATCCGTTAACAAAGAAATTAAATTGGTGTGGCCTAATGGCTAATAAACATTGTACAGTAGCATTTTTGTATTGCTTATGCAAATCAAGCTCTATATCTACAAAATGTATATGTCTAATGATGTTTGTGTTTCCCTAAATTCCAAACACTGCCATTTGAAATTGCCCCGCCTTATCCTTGGTGTATATGGTCTCAGATAATCCCTGATTATAACAACCTCATAAACCACCTCATTCGCTACGTTCACTTGGTGGTTTATTCGGTGGTTATCACACCTGACCAGGGATTATCTCACCATATTAATAAAGGGTTAATGCCCCGCCCCAACG